CGAAAGCTGACTGAAGCAATTTCCTTAAATCGTAAAGTGCCCTCGCGTGATTCCATGGATCTTTGATCTTTGAAGGCGCATCGTTGTTTTGTCGAACTTTCGAACTTACATAACCGACGCTTTCAGTAATACGATTTTCTGTTTGGCGTGTTTCAGCGCTTAGTTTCCCGGGAGAAAGCACGATCTTGTTTTGACGGTATTACGGAACTTGCGCAACGTAAGATCGTTGCCCGTTATAGCTTAATTGGCCGCTCATTGTTTTAATTAATTCATCGCCCGTCTACTCCTTTCGATTGTTCCGAATTCTCCCTAATGGTACACGTTACACTAATCCACGGAGCTACGTTGCGGTATTATTATCACGCTAATTAAGCGTAATTCACGAAGTTCACTGCCAGAGGAAATAATTTATCAGCCTCCGTTTATCCTTGCATAAAGGAGGATTATTTTAAAGAATAGAAAACGAGGGACTGTTTTCCTGATTTAATCTCAGAGTGAAGAATATAAGGAAAAAAAAATATCAGAGCCTAATCAGACTCTAGTTTCCAGACACCCTGTATAAAGGAAGATTTCCCATTTTCGTACAAAAACTGATCGAGAAATAAAAGAAATGCATAGCTGACAAGAGAGCGGAGCGTAATCACGACCAATGCAAGTGTATTTTTATTCCCGGTATCGCGACACGACCGGTGTTCTTATTTCTTCGTTGTCGTCGTCTTTTTTTCGCAATCTGAAGAGGTAGGTCTGTCTCTTCCATTCCCGGCGGTGTTTATATCTCGCCGGCTGTGGCTGGTTGCGTTAGGTTCCTCGACCTTGCCGGTCGTGCAGGTTTCAACTCGCAGGCACGTCCAGACGTCCCCGTGTATACCGGGTGTTCCTCCACGATTGCGCCCAGATTCGATGTTCAATGGAAGAATTTACGGGGAGGATGTTTACTTGTTCTACGGTAGTCTTGGAACTATGTTTTTGACGAGTTACTCTTTAAGGATTAGTTCTTGGAATTGAAGGGAATGGTCTTCTACAGAGTGGCCTATAAATCGCTTCATCGTTTAACAATTTAACAACATATTTTTCTATCATTTTAAAATGTTTGTTTCTGATTTTGAAAACAGTTTATTCTACGACTTACGAGCCACCGTGTATAAAAGAATTTTAGTTCTTTTCTTTCTGTAGATATAGTAGAGATTTTGAAATATGGTTATCGATTGTATTTGCATCGAATTGATTTGAATTGCATATTGAAGTAGTTTAATTTATTAGTCATTTCTGACATATGGTCTCAGCTATTCAAACGTGTTTCTTTTCTTTGTATTATTGATCATTTCTTTTATTGCAGTAGTGTGTTTGGAGATAGAGAATGAGAGAAGAGTTGTAAAGGAAGTATGAATGAGGTAGAATGTAAGTAGCTTCGGCCACGCCCTAACGTTTGAGGGTTAATAGAAGTGTTTCAACTGAGTGTTTGGCTTGTACACATCGGTCGAAATAATTAGAGGGCCGTTCGACCAAACGACTATGTTTCTCAGCACTATCAGATGTTCAGTATATGTATTAAACATACAAACTTGTGAATTCATTTGAATAAATAACCTTTGCAATACTTCTGTCAGCATATATTTCAAGATATAACAAACATTTAATCTATTTAATCCCGAATTTTTTGAATTTTCTCACACTAGTTATCTTAGCCAATATTTCCCAAAAAATCCAATCGATGGCGCCATCGATGCACCATGTGCAGCAGCGCCATACTGGAACGCAAGACGCGTATTAATAGAGGCAATAATTATTTCCATGCAGCGACGCAACTCACGTTAAATTTATTCCGGTTTTCGCGCCTCCCACGTGGTTTCTCAGTACGGGTTCACCTCCTGCATCAGGCGGTTATTATTGAACCTTGCTATTTCCGAAAATCGTCACTACTCCACGGTTTCTCGACGATTCTTCCTGGAAGTTGACAGTAACGCAGCATGAAAATTCTAAAAGGATCGGAATGCCGTCCCATGTGCTTCACCTCCTTCATTCCACGGGGAAAGTCTTCGACCAAGACGGATTTAGATTTATTGGAAGTTCTGTTGCTCGCCTCCCGCCGTTTGTTTTCTTGCTTATGTATATTTCTCTGGCGCTTTATCGATTGTCCACTTTGAACGTGTTTCGCATAGGGGGCCAATCGTCGTTTATATTGAATTGATATCCTAACCTAGTTTTAACTGCACTTTTATTTAGGTTAGGTTAGATACGAGTAATTACAGGTTTTAAATTAGGTTAGTAAGAGTGTAAATTTCCGAATTTAAATTTAGCAATAGCCGTTTTCATTAATATAATCGTTTAGGTGGTAACGAGGACCTCATTGTCCATACGAACAATAGAAACGTGTATTTATCGACAGTGTCTATCATTTATACAGCATGGTAAGGAATTACAACGAGAAATTACCAACAGTCGTACGATAATAAAGGATTAGGTAACCTATTACATTGTTTCGAAGCCATTCTGAATTCCCATTGCGTTTCCTGAGAAAGTTTCGTCCACGTGAACTAGACCCAGTGAACTTTATCAATCGGCAAATGAATTATCTGCTTCTTATTGCTTCGAAACAAAACAATTGATATTTTTTCTTGTAATTTTATCTATGGTCACGTTGTTCGAGGTAAAGATTCACGATTCCTCGGGACTTTGTAACACTAACCAGCGTTATCGAGAGCAAACAGCTCATAGTTCTACACGCGGAGTTTATAGTGCTAATGCTTTGTTTGAAATGTGTTACGTATTTCGCGGCCTTCGAGTTGCGGTGGGATGTGTCTCGAGTCCTATGGTTAAAGAAGCCACGGTAAAACAGAAATTATTTATTACTATTGTTGTTTCGAGTTTTAAGGATATTAATAGCGCTATTATATATGGAACTTGTCGTTTCATTTCTGAGACGATTTATCAAACGTCTAACTGTGCACAGTGGTACTGCCTACCAAGGTGGCGGGCGAGTGAATATTATTTTACAATTATTAACCATTTTATTCTTCATATTTTAATAAAATTTAAGAATAAAAAAATAACAAATTTTAACTCTTCTACACCATCAAGAAATATACTGTCCATTAAGTATATTCAATATTTTTCAATGAAATTCATAAATTTAGTACCACTCATTTCACTTTCTACATTAAACCTTTGCACTCGAGTCATATTTCAACACTTCCTTTCACCAACCCGATAATTACAAGCGTAAGATTACTTTTTTTTTTACTCAGAAAATGAAATATTAGATTTTATCGTTTATTCGCAAAATTGATCAAATTTCATATTTCGCAGTTTTTAATTTTGAAATTACCGGAATGAATGCTCGTGCTAGCACAACTGACGTTCTAAATAGATAGGGATAACGTGTATATCCAATCTGAAAAAATCCACTATCTCGACCCTTATCTTTGTCGTTCACCGATTGCAAAACGGAGAATCCATACGTGACACAGACCTGTTAGTGTATTCGAATAAAAATTCCCACCCAGGTGAAATGTAGGTCCAGCAGCACACGCCAGGTACACAGTCACGTCGCGGATGAAATTGATTACCATATTTCACGGTGTACATTCGTGTCTCGTGGACAGAGACCGCTGGTAACGACTACCTGTTACCCAATTAATCGCTACCCACGTCCTAAGACGTTCAGTTCCACTCGAGCGTGGCTTGAGCGGAATCTAAACACCCGGAGAACCGATTCGTTTCAGGTTCGAGCAGGTCTCCTAAGACGATCGTTCCGTGACCTCTCTCTCTCTCTTCGTTTCTATCTCTTTCGGTTTCTCTTCATTTCTATCTTTCGGTTTCCCTTCATTTTTATCTCTCTTTGTTTCTCTTCATTTCTATCTCTCTCGGTTTCTTTTCATTTCTATCTTTCGGTTTCTCTTCATTTTTATCTCTCTTTGTTTCTCTTCATTTCTATCTCTCTCGGTTTCTCTTCATTTTTATCCCTCTTTGTTTCTATTCATTTCTATCTCCCTCGGTTTCTTTTTATTTCTATCTTTCGGTTTCTCTTCATTTTTATCCCTCATTGTTTCTCTTCATTTTTCTATCTCTCTGTTTCTCTTCATTTTTCTATCTCTCTGTTTCTCTTCATTTCTATTTCTCTGTTTCTCTTCATTTCTATCTCTCCCTGTTTCTCTTCATTTTTCTATCTCTCGGTTTCTCTTCATTTTTCTATCTCTCGGTTTCTCTTCATTTCTACCTCTCTGTTTCTCTTCATTTTTCTATCTCTCTTTCTCTGTTTCTCTTCATTTCTATCTCTCCCTGTTTCTCTTCATTTTTCTATCTCTCTGTTTCTCTTCATTTCTATTTCTCTGTTTCTCTTCATTTCTATCTCTCCCTGTTTCTCTTCATTTTTCTATCTCTCGGTTTCTCTTCATTTTTCTATCTCTCGGTTTCTCTTCATTTCTACCTCTCGGTTTCTCTTCAGTTCCCCCTCTCTCTTTTCTTCTCTTCATCTCTATTCCCCTCTCTCTTTTCTTCTCTTCATCTCTATTCCCCTCTCTCTTTTCTTCTCTTCATCTCTATTCCCCTCTCTCTTTTCTTCTCTTCATCTCTATTCCCCTCTCTCTTTTCTTCTCTTCATCTCTATTCCCCTCTCTCTTTTCTTCTCTTCATCTCTATTCCCCTCTCTCTTTTCTTCTCTTCATCTCTATTCCCCTCTCTCTTTTCTTCTCTTCATCTCTATTCCCCTCTCTCTTTTCTTCTCTTCATCTCTATTCACCTCTCTCTTTTCTTTTCTTCCTCTCTATCTCTTTTCTTCTCTCCCCTCTCTCTCTCTTCTCTTCATCTCTCTCTCTCTCCTTGTTTGTTTGCTGAATGCGAATTTTCTGCCGTCTTTCAAACCTGGTCTACTTAACTTGCTTTCTCGGGCTTACGGTACAAATAGTAGATAGGTGTGTTTTTCGATGGAGCACACCAGAGATATTTACATTTTCGTGAAGAGAACGAAGAGATAAGATCGTTGGTTTCTTTCTGCGTTACAGAATTTCCAGGATCTGGAGGCAGAAAAGGCAATAATGGGCTCTATTGTGTACTGCATACATCATAAGGACGGGTGCAAGTGGTCCGACGAACTTCGAAAGTTGAAGGTATGTAATTTTGCAATTTCTTCTAATTCAATTTAAAAAAAAAAAAAAAATTCTATTTCCGTTAAGTTAGAAAATAAAGGTTAGAAATATCGTGGAGGTAATTTTTTCCTTTTCAAATACTCGACAAGTCGAGGAGAGGTGTTAAGGATACTTGAAGATTATCTTCGTTAACCTTGATAGAAAAATCACTCCAAGTGTTTGAAGATTGTTTCATTGTGCATTTCTGATCTTGAGCGGCCTTGTGCTGACAGGTCGTTGAACTGGTCCCGGCACGGTTTACTCCCACGCGGCCTACGGATAGCCTGTGTCGGCCTTCCGGTCAATTATAAGAACAATTATCGACTCTTTTTATCGTCATTAACATATCAAGACTGAAATAAGCCCACGATGAATAACGAGCGAAAAATTGTCCCCTCTATAATGACTTTATTTATAATTCTTCGCGCAACTAGTAATTAGATGTTAACCTTGAAGCATCTAAGACGTTTCCAGTATCCAATCTTTCTCTTCTACACCTTCTTCACTGATCTTGATAGATATTTCCTCTTTCAACTATTTTTTTTTTTTATTAATTTCTTCCCTGCTTTTCATTCTAATTTTCTCACCTTTTATTCTTATTTTGCAACTTTGCTTTATTTTCTTCAGTTTTACTTATTTCTCTCTTCTTTACAGAATCGTTTTTCCCTTTTCCTGATTTTCTTTACTTTTTTTTCATTTGGAGCCTATTTTCCTTATTTTTTACTGTTCTTAGATATTTTTCTATTCAATTTAAAATTTATTATAGATATAAGGACGCAAAAATAAATAAATCATCTTGTTCGACTAACAAATTATGGTAAAAATCACTGTTTAGGCGCACCTGAATACCTGCAAGCACGACGCGGTCCTCTGCAGCAATAAGTGTGGCGCGATGATCCCGCGTGTGCTGATGGAGGACCATTTGAAGTACACTTGCGCCCAGCGGCGAGCACGCTGCGACTTCTGTGCCAAAGAATTCACCGGTCACACGCTCGAGGTAACCGCCGCTGCATTAATTAGAAGAATCGCGATCGAGTGCCAGCTTTTAGTTAACTGTACTACAGTGGGAACGGAGGGAAGCGAAAGCCACAGGGTTCAAACGAAATCTTTGGAATTCTTTTGTGTTTTTTTTTCTTTTCCTATATTCATATTATGGAAGAATGTCTGTGAACGTGGAAAATATCTTCCTACACTCCTACTATACACATATTTTTTAATGTAACATTTATGAATTAAATTGGGAATTCAGTGCACATAAATTTTTAATTTTCTAATTTTTTTATTATATTGCTAAACAAATTTTTCATTTTTTTTCTTTTACAAATCTTCCCTTTATTTATTATATTTTAGTCTCTAATTTGTATTTACTCTCTCTTCACAGAAGCACACAGGGACATGTGGCTACGAGCCGCTCTACTGCGAGAACAAGTGCGGCATGAAGGTGCAGCGAAGGCACCTCAGCCAGCATAAGTTAGGAGAGTGCGCGAAAAGGCTGGTGGCATGTCGTTACTGCAACAAAGAGTTCGTTTTTGACACGCTCGGTGCTCATCACGCCAAGTGTGGCCGCTTTCCAGTCGCCTGTCCACACCGTTGTGAAACTGCTGTGTTACCAAGGGAAGATCTGGAAGTTCACTTGAAAGACCACTGCACCACACACCTTTTATCCTGTACGTTCAAGGATGCCGGCTGTCGTTTCAAGGTATATCAATTGTGATTGACCTGGATCCCTCTTGCAGTTTTATGTCTTCATTTCATAAAGTACATTGGTTTTAACATAATCTTGGATTATATTCTTTGCAGGGTAATAGATTTTCATTGGACAAACACTTGGAAGAATCAGCAAAGATGCATTTGAGCCTGATGTGCAGTGTAGTGACAAAACAGCAACATCAGATAACCAGCCTGAAATCCGCCATTAGCAAATTGTCGTTAAATTACACTGGCACGCTAATATGGAAGATCACAGATTACAGTGCTAAAATGTCCGAGGCGAAGGCCAAGGAGGGCATGGAACTCGTTAGTCCTCCTTTCTACACTAGTCAATATGGTTACAAGCTACAGGTAAACGACAATTGCAACTGCTTGCAGATCATTCCTTCTGAAAAGTTAGAAAAGTTACAGATGATGAATTTTTTTGTTAAACGAACAATGAATATATGTTTTAGGCGTCAGTTTTCTTAAACGGAAATGGAACCGGCGAAGGGAGTCACATTTCCATATACATAAAGATACTTCCCGGAGAGTATGATGCTCTGTTGCGATGGCCATTCTCTCACAGCGTGTCCTTCACAATATTCGACCAGACGGTGGTCGCAGAGAAGGCGTGTAACATCGTGGAGAGTTTTATACCAGATCCAACATGGAAGAATTTCCAGAGGCCGAGTCGCGAGCCTGATTCCCTCGGTTTCGGTTTCCCCAGATTCGTGTCCCACGAAATGGTAAAGAAACGACACTTCGTTAAGGACAACACGATGTTCATTCGAGTGAAGGTTGATCCTAGCAAAATCGTGGCCGTGTAAAAAAGGGTCGATAGATTAATGCGTCGAGCCGCATTCCCCTATCACGTTGTATCATACTAACTCAATTTACTATCGTAAACCACGTAACACACTTAATATTGTTACGCCACGTACACACACACACATACGTAAACGGTATTTACCCCGATGTGGTTCATACATGCATTTCTTACTTTCTGCTACGTAACGTCAGTCCAGTAAGGCGATTAACGATTACTTGATATTTATTAACCGCGTATACTTGGTGTGATAGGGCGAAGTACTTTTACATACAGGGCACGTGGTACTTACGTCGTTGCACAGGGAGTATACTGTAGTGAAATTGAGTCAGGATATTCTATGAACCTTCAGGAGGCAATAATGGTTAACAAAAAGATACGTTCGTTGTTCGAAACGGTTAGGAGTATCGAGATACAGAGGATTACTCAAAAGGATTACTATGTCTTTACTACGATATTTGTACCGACTGCTACTATATGTAACGTTAAGGACTTTGAGATACCTGAATGACAAATGAATTTCTTGAATAGCTGATCCTCTAATTATTTGGTACAGCATGTTTCACTACGGGAAACTGGTTGAAAATATTTATGTTGAACCACGAAATTTGTATAATTTTTTTTAACCTTCATTTGTATCATCAGATTCATATTGTTGTTGCAGATCCCTGTTATTATTGTCGTCGTTTATTTTGTAACATATATTTCCATTCTCCATAGCGTACGATGAACGTTTCGGTTTACAGTCTTAACATCATATTGAAATTCCTTCTGAGATTAATCAGATGAATTTTCAGCTGATTGGCTTGACCGAGTAACGTTAAGTTTGCTGCAACGAGATATACCTTTAAGAATTCAAATCAAAGATTATTAAAGGACTGTGTACTATAAGCTTAAGGAATGTAAATATTGTGAAAAAAAAAGAAACATAGCTCCGTACGAGTGAGTTGATTAGTTGGAGCGACAGATCTACCGATGTAAATACGACTTTACTACATGTTAGTGATAATGAGAAATTGTGATTGAGATGCTAGTGACTGTATGTAATGATTTAAGAGTAAGAAATAATAAAACTATTATATCGCATTCGTATATTGTATATGACGAACGAGTTATTTTTATTACTCATTCCCTTCATTTCTATGTCTGAGATCATAATAAAAATACATTATAAATACTTCATTAATATATACATGTATATTTACAGTGTAAAACAGAGTTACAATATTGTGTAAGAGAACAATAATATGTTTATTGTGAATTCTCTGTCTGTTGAGATTGTGCCTGCTTTACCTATAGAAATAAAATTTACTTATTAAATTAAAACACAATTGTATAATTAAATTATCTTCTACCAGATCTGCACATACAGTTTGAATCCTCAGCATTTGATCTAGAGCATGTGGCAGTAATGGACGTACACTGTTGATCTCCATAGCAGTCAGATGGTCTAATTTTGCATGCAATCCTTCACTCTTCAAGAATGCATCTATAGATGTACGAAGTTTAGACATTCTTATGTCCCATATATCCTACAGTTTAATAACCATGTTAATATTAAGAAATGTTAAACATCTACAACTGAAGATACCTTTATTGCTGTCCTTATTGTGTCTGCATCAGAGATATCATCACTTGCAACACTCAGTAAAAGCTGTGCTTCATCAATATAATGATTACTAGGCATTCTTGTAAATAATCTATAATAATAAATGTTTTGTTATGAAAAAAAAAACAGCTTACCAAGAGAAACAAGTAAAAAACGATCACACTAACTTAGATAATTTTTCTTCCTCTTTCGCCTCGTTCAAACTCTCCGCATTCATCCACTCTTTATTAAGAATACGACATTTTTGCTGCTGTTTCAGATTCACTGCCAGCCAAATCGGAACTTTGACAGGTAAACCAGCTCGAAACGGGCCCACTGATCCCGAAATCAAATGAATCATGTCGAAACTGAAATTTGGCACGATAGACACCAATTCTTTTTCAGCGAGAAATTCTACTTCACTGGGATCCATTGTTCGATGAATAATTTTTTATACTGCACAACGTTTAGTGAAATAATTGGAACATCTTTCGGACAATACTTCTGACCGCATCCGAAGCGACAGCGAGACTAGTTTTGGCGGGAAACTTATGCAGGCTGTCATGTTTGAAGCGCTACCTGTTGCACATCGGTCAGACTTCAAATACGTTCATAGCGCATGCGTAATATTAATTTCATAGATCGAAAACAGAGAGGAGGTGCAGAATAGATCTATCATCTTATAGAACTGTATGTTTCGCGTTCTGAAATATCGACCGTGTAAAATATCAGAGGTTTTCTTATGTCCTCTACGATAATAGAACGATGAATTTAAGAATGATATACAATTCAACCATCGAAGATGGTAAAATTGACAAATGTAAAAGAGCCTCTTTCGTTAAAGTTGTATATAAAGATGTCCGGCAAAATAAGCTTGAGGTTTCAGGAAGGCTTTAGGCTATAATAAGACTAGAATAATGCTATGGCACTTAGTTTTACGATACGAGGAAGGATCGATAATTATAAAATTATTTTATAATTAAAGTACTTGAAAAGAAGACAGAAACTGTATTCCCGTAAGGATAGCACTAGAGAAACGAGTTTGACAAGGAAAAAAATATGGGTAAAGAAGGACAGCACTGGAGTAATGAGTTAGACAAGGAAAGGTATAGGGATGGACAAGGATAGAAAAAATGGCGGACAAGAGTAATGCCATCTTGTGTTCGACGACTTGAACTACGACTTTTTAATAGGATAACAGAATATAAACAGAGGTATTAGACAAGGATAGCACTAGTGTGCGACAAGGACAGAGAGAAAACGCTTCCTATTGGCCAGCGGGCCGCCGAACTTCGCCTATCAGGCCCCAGATTAAGCCGATCGATGAAAAATCATTAATAACTCAATAATTAGGACGATTTTGTGAACTTTTAGAATTGAAGAATGAAGCATGGACCTTCAGCAACTTTCACATATAGTTTTTAATGCTCTAAAACCTTTCAATAATTAGTTATTAACAATTATTGTGCGGAGTGTCGGTAGCGGTACTGCACACCGTACTGGTTTTTCATTAATTTTGTAGCTTTATACAAATAATTCATGCACTTTTATACATGCGTTCGAAAGGCTATTCCTTTACCTACTTTCTCGTTATATTTTCATTAACATATCTGTCGTAATGTGCAAGATATTAAACATTATTTGGGTAAGTATTACATTCGTCGCATTCAAACGTAAAACATTTCCGTCATTTTCATTAATAACTTAATAATTACGATAATTTTGTGAACTTTTAGAATGAAAGAATAAAGTATGAACCTTCAGCAACTTTCTCATATAGGTTTGAAGACCCTAGCTTCTTTCAGTAATGAATTATTAACAATTATTGTGCAGAGTGTTGCCAGCGATACCGCACACCATTCAGGGTTTTCATTAATTTCGTAGCTTTATACAAATAATTTATGCACTTTCATAGATGCATTCGAAAGGCTATTCCTTTACCTACTTTCTCGTTACATTTTCATTAATATATCTGTCGTAATGTGCAAGATATTAAACATTATTTGGGTAAGTACTACACTCGTCGTATTCAGGCGTCACACATTATTATTATTTATATGAATAAGCATGATTAATTTTCTACTTTCAAGCATGAAGAATGTAGAATAGACATTTTACTATATTCTATAATAATTTTGGTAGCCATAAGTGATGTAGTTTATTAGATATTAGTAATTGTTTACAACAGTTGGGTATACTCGAGTACGATGAACAGGGGACGCTCCCATAAAATATTTAATAACTCCTAAACTGAAGCGAATATGTTAATAAAAATTAGACGAGAATTTAGCCAAAGGAGTTGCCTTTCAGATGTGTATAGTTAGTTGCACGAGAATTTAGTAGAACGCTGTTAATTTCCAAAGGAGTCATATGTAAAACATTTATATACAATAAGATATCCTGTAGAGGAGTTATTTATAGGGATGGAGAAATATGTTGAGAATGTATAATGACCATTTTGTTTGCGCGGAGCCTTTGTACCCGTGTCAGTTGAGGTTGCAAATTGATCGAGGTGTGGGACACGGTTGCAGTAGCAGGATAAGAAATTTTATATCGTTGAATGGTGATTTTTAAGCAGCAAGATACTTTTATTTCACTGTTCACGTTTAAAACTTAAATTGCACATTGTTGCAAACGCGTTATCGGGTTTGCAACTTTGTTGTCCCGAAAATTACACATAGTTGCACGACGCGCCGTTTTGCAACAATGTGCAATTTGCGGGGAGCGTCTTCAGACAACAAAGTTGCAAGCGCGATTTTTCTTTTGCAACTTTGTTGCCTTGAATTAATGTTTTTCTTGTATAAATTACAGGTGGACCTTACAGAGCACCATCAGATGCAAGGAAAGGTCTTGAACATCAGGAGAAACGAAGAAATGCAATTAATTATGAAAATATCAATTATTTATTGCAAATTTATTGTACAAAATGAATATTACAAAAAGTTACAATATACCAGTATTGTTTTACAGCATTTTACAGTCTATTTACTTCTCCTTTACACACCAAATCCATTTCCATTTGAAAGAAACCAATTGTTTAAACAATATTTCATTGCAAAATTAAATAACTATTAGAAAATGTATATTACAAAAGGTTATAGTACTCCAGTATTGTCTTACAGCATTATACAGTCTATTTACTTCTCCTTTGCGTACCAAATTCTCTTCCTTTTGCAAAAAACCTTATTGTTTAAACAATATTCCATTGCAAAATTGAATAAACTAATGCCAGAAACCACCAGGAATGCGTAATCATCGAAAAATTCGAAAAAATCCCGAAATTCTAGCGTAAACTACGGAAATTACGGAAATATTTCGAAAATCGCGCGAATATACTCGTTCGGTGCTCGAGTCCCCGAGAATTCCTGGAAATGACGTCATTTCTCGGAAATGACGAAATTTCCGAGAATCGACGCGATTCCAAGAATTGACCAATGGGGCCTCGACAAATTTCGGTTCCCGAGAATTCCTGGAATTTTCGTCATTTCTCGGAAACGACGAAATTTCCGAGAATCGACGCGATTCCAAGAATTGACCAATGGGGCCTCGACAAATTTCGGTTCCCGAGAATTCCTGGAATTTTCGTCATTTCTCGGAAACGACGAAATTTCCGAGAATCGACGCGATTCCAAGAATTGACCAATGGGGCCTCGACAAATTTCGGTTCCCGAGAATTCCTGGAATTTTCGTCATTTCTTGGAAATGACGTGATTTCCAAGAATCGAGGCACTTCCAAGAAGCGACCTCCTGTCATATCATATTCGCCTAATACAAAGTCAGGATTTTCGATTTTCGAAAATTTTTGGCCGAAAATCGGCTTTCTAATAGGCGAACATGATATGTAAGGAGGTCGCTTCCTGGAAGCGACTCGATTCTCGGAATTTTCGTCATTTCTCGGAAACGACGAAATTTCCGAGAATCGACGCGATTCCAAGAATTGACCAATGGGCCCTCGACAAATTTCGGTTCCCGAGAATTCCTGGAATTTGGTCAGTTCCGAGAATCGACGCGATTCCAAGAATTGACCAATGAGCCCTCGACAAATTTCGGTTCCCGAGAATTCCTGGAATTTGGTCAGTTCCGAGAATCGACGCGATTCCAAGAATTGACCAATGAGCCCTCGACAAATTTCGGTTCCCGAGAATTCCTGGAATTTGGTCAGTTCCGAGAATCGACGCGATTCCAAGAATTGACCAATGAGCCCTCGACAAATTTCGGTTCCCGAGAATTCCTGGAATTTGGTCAGTTCCGAGAATCGACGCGATTCCAAGAATTGACCAATGAGCCCTCGACAAATTTCGGTTCCCGAGAATTCCTGGAATTTGGTCAGTTCCGAGAATCGACGCGATTCCAAGAATTGACCAATGAGCCCTCGACAAATTTCGGTTCCCGAGAATTCCTGGAATTTGGTCAGTTCCGAGAATCGACGCGATTCCAAGAATTGACCAATGAGCCCTCGACAAATTTCGGTTCCCGAGAATTCCTGGAATTTTCGTCATTTCTTGGAAATGACGTGATTTCCAAGAATCGAGGCACTTCCAAGAATCGGCCTCCTGTCATATCATATTCGCCTAATACAAAGTCAGGATTTTCGATTTTCGAAAATTTTTGGCCGAAAATCGGCTTTCTAATAGGCGAACATGATATGACAGGAGGTCCCTTCCTGGAAGTGACTCGATTCTCGGAACTGACCAAATTCCAGGAATTCTCGGGGACTCGAGCACCGAACGAGTATATTCGCGCGATTTTCGAAATATTTCCGTAATTTCCGTAGTTTACGCTAGAATTTCGGGATTTTTTCGAATTTTTCGATGATTACGCATTCCTGGTGGTTTCTGGCATTAGGTTATTCAATTTTGCAATGGAATATTGTTTAAACAATAGGGTTTTTTGCAAAAGGAAGTGAATTTGGTACGCAAAGGAGAAGTAAATAGACTGTAAAATGCTGTAAAACAATGCTGGTATATTGTAACCTTTTGTAATACACATTTTGCACAATAATTTTACAATAAACAATTGATATTTTCATAATTAATTGCATTTCTTCGTTTCTCCTGATGTTCAAGACCTTTCCTTGCTTCTGATGGTGCTCTGTAAGGTCCACCTGTAATTTATACAAGAACAACATTAATTTTACTAATTGTTAATAAAAGTTATAAACAATTTCCGACGAATCTACCGAATTCAATGGTTAATTCAGTGCGAAATTAACATGTTAAGCAGTTCTATTAAGGTAAAGCTTACAATAATTTTATTTAACACTTGCAACTGTTATGAACAACCATCTAAATTGTTATTTAGCAAGAAACACTAGTTATTCTACAATTAAAATACTTGAAAGTAAAGTTTAAGCTTTATTTCACTATCTACTCGCTACAAGTAATGTTAACCGAATGAAATATTTATAATAAATGTTAAATGTAAAATACCTGCTGCATGTAATTGTTAATTCAATACGAAATTAACAATTTAAGCTATTTTATTAGGTTAAAGCATGCAATAATTCTATTTAAGACTTCCAATAATGATAAACTACCATCTAAATCATTATTTAGGAGAGTTGCAACTTTGTTGCCGAAAGTCGCTGGCGAAAATTGCACATTGTTGCAAAACGGCGCGTCGTGCAACATTGTGCAATTTTCGGGACAACAAAGTTGCAAACCCGATAACGCGTTTGCAACAATGTGCAATTTTCGGGAGCGACACGCGGCAACAAAGTTGCAAGCGCGATAACACGTTTGTCACAATGTGCATTTTAAAATAATACGAGTTAATGATGTTACAAGCGAGAATGACGCTTGTAACAATGTTACATTCAAGCGTAGTGCTTGTAATTATGTTTGCGTTAGATATATCGCTCCTAATAATGATGCATTCAAAAGTAACGCGTACAACAATATTTTGCATTCGAAATAGTGCTTCCATCGATGTTGCATTCGAGAATAGAGACAGCAACAATATGCATTAATAACGTGTTCCTTATTAAAACAAGTTTTGTACTAAGTAGAAATTTCATCCCATTCGAAATACTTACAATACAATTGAAACCTCCCAATGTGTGTTCTCTTCTCTCAAATAAAGTTACCAATCCAATTAGAATCCTCCACCGATTAACCAGCAAAAACGACACAGTAATAACAATATCGAAGTTTTAAAACAGTACCGTTCATAATTCTTACCTAACTCTCGTACAATATCCTAAAGCAATTTACGAGCACATCAGTTTCCATGTCCATTCGATTCACCCTCGTGAGCAGCCGGGAATATATACTTTATTTGTAATTTCATATTTACATTTAGTTCTAATTCCAACCCCTACTAATGTTGTAATCTTATTTTATGCAGAGTCGGTAACATTGGGAGTGGCACAAAAATGGTAAGTGTGTTCTAGAACCCCAGTAACGTGGATTAAGGTGCATTGGGTGATAGGTCTGTTCTGTATCTCATCTGTGATCGAAAATAAAACCATGGTTTGTAATGAGTTCTTGTATAATTAATAAACAACTCGTGGAATTAATAATTTATTCTTGGGAAATAATATATATCAGCTGATTTGTGGATGACAGTTTCTGTGACATTTATTTTGGCTGACACTAACAGAATGAACACTAACATACAGATTGACTTAGAGTGATTCTTTAATGCTTAAAAATTCACATGTTGGCTTACTTATCGTTCCTTCTTTTAACAGACATACGTTTTACATCATAGAGATTTAATTTAAATCGCACACGTATTAAACGTAACCCGAATGAGATCTTCGTTTCTCGTTATACATATATTACTACCGATATGATATATGTATGTATATGTACTAATACAATAAATTCATCTCCTATTTATTACAACAAATACATCATTTCGACGTGCATACATTTTCCCTTCGAAATAATGTTATTCGTTGTTAGTAAAAAAGAACATTAATTTATCGGTGTTTTAAAACAAAATGTTCTTTATCATTTTAAACAGAGCTAATATTTCAAATGTTTTCATTCGACACTGTACACTTACGCTTCGTTTAACGCTGTTCTCAAAGCGTAAAATATAATCTCGAAATATGTTCAGTCAAATATTCGTCTTCTCAATATTCGGGTAATAATACAAGAAATTTATTTGTTCAGTTTGTATCGAGTATTAACACCAGGACTAAAATATCATACATACAATTGTAATACTAACATCATTGTTTATGGTAAACAATAATTACCATTTATCAATTGTCATTAACAATAATTAATAATCAATTGTGAAACTGATATCACACATTGATTTCTATGTTTAGTCGTATCGACTTACGACCAAATTCGACTATCTTCTTTAAGGTCAAAGATATGAATAAAAAATCTTCAACCTTTGTCTTTACTTTCCGTCAATTCTTCGTCCATCTTTTCGTGGACAGAATCGACGTGATTTACATCGACCTCGATCACGAAAATAGACGCCGGTGGTGTTTCCTCGACGTTGTCCACTTCCGCTGGGAGAAGGGGCATCAAAGGTTTATAAGTCTGTAATTCCATCGTAATACAAGAAGATGCTCTTGAAACACTTGAATCGATCCTATTATTTCCGAAGTTGTCACTTTCGTTTCGTTGTAATTCGGTGCTGTTTTGACTCGTGTTGTCGTTAACGCAGCCGTCAACTTCCTGCTTGTCGCTCTGCGAGGAACTCGATGTATTTCCCGCCTCCTTCTCTCGAAATGAAATGTTACGACCCGCGGTAAGCGATCCTTTCAATTTGACGTCAGTAACCTGCAGTCAAAGCACACGTGATTCCATTTAGCCATTCGATCGATAAGATAAGATATATTTCCAATAAGCAACGGGCATCTTTCGATAAAGTGGCAATTTTATTTATCGAAACTTTCGAAAGTAATCGACTACACCTGTTAACTACTCGATAACAGCTGGATCGCTAAGAGACAGATTATTCAAATCAAATATCACAGCTATCTATCCCCACAGAGCAAATATGTGTACGATAGACAAAATATGTCATTGTACTAAAAAATCAACAGCTGTTGCGCCCTCTACGGTTTAAGGTAGAGATTTTAAGAATTACATTTACCACGGCCAGGCAAAAGTTAGAACTTGTTTCCTGTCGATAATGATGCTAGAAATCAATGAGGCGTTACCTGGCGGAGTAAAATCGACCTTTGACCCCTCGTAGAAGCCACTCCACCCGCTTGCCTTTGAAACTGTCTTTGCGAACCAACCAACGAGCCACGATCGTGTATCACACTCACTACACTTGACTTCACGTCGCTGTGCGGAAATAGAAGCCTCCACATGAAGTTTTTGAGAGCCGCACGGAAATCCTTCAGATGATAAGCGTAGAGCAACGGATTGCCAGCCGAGTTCAAATGCGACAGGATGATGCAGAAGTTCATCAGGATATCGTTCACTTTGCATCGCGGGCAGAATGCCATTACGCAATTGATAGTGTAGAGAGGGAACCAGCAAATGATGAAAAAGATCACGATCCTCGACAAATTCTGCGTAGCTTTCACCTCGCGCTTTCTGGCAGCGCCGAGCAGACGCAACATGGTCCCTGTTGTCTGATTTCCGGTACGACTTGGATTCATCGTCACGATTTGTTGTAACTGAGAAAATACAATGCGACATAAGGGAGGAAAGAAATGTCTAAACCCGTTTTTTTAAGAAAGTAAACTATTATAATTTTCCAATACATTTTTTCCCAGGAGTATTTGCCTCAAGGGTTGCTCTGGATTCTCTTTGACAAAGTGGCGGAAAACAGTGAATAATGTATTTTCGTAATAACGTAAGTATGGAATTTTTAAGAGGTTATGTAGAGGCCATTAGGAGAATTAATCTATCATACCATGAACTAAGGACTTTGTTATCAAAGAATCTAATGTGAAACTCGATCAGAAATTTATCGTATTTACGTAGAATACACACCTTAAGTTATCGTGAATATTTCGTATTAATAAAAGAGGTAATTTTGGAGGGTCAACAAACAGAACGCTGTCTTCATTCATTCGTGTCGTGTTTGCATACGTACAACACGTCACACACACACAGACAGACACAGATACAGTGCCCATATATTTACGGTAAAAGTGTCTGACCTGCTTTACGACCACTCTGTATATATGGGCGTAGAAGGCTGCAATTAATAGCGCTGGAAAGATGATCGTGGCGAAGTACAGGAACACCAAGTAATCGTAATCCATCACCTCAGTGAAGATGCATTTCTCGTTGGATTTCTTGCCTGCGTTCCATCCTAAAAGCGGCAGGAAACCGACCAAACTTCCGGCGATCCAACACACGCAAATTATACCTGAAAATACAGAATTTTCTTGCAAACCCTACACCGTTATCGATTCAATTATTCCAGGTAAATTATTAACACATTACCGACCGATTAGATAGATCTACCATTTCCTACTTTTTCATTATCCACGACGAATTGTATTTTATTCTCGTGTACTATTGCGAGAAATTTTATTCCGTAATATTATTAGGTATAATAAATCATCGTTTAATTTTGCATTATTAATTTTTCTTACACAGGATTTTTAGAGATTCAGCCAACTGCGTTTCGTTGGTAATATGTTAATACACTACCTGGAATGATAAACAGCGAATAATACTCGGAAAAACGTAAAATGTCAACAAATCTACATATTTCACATCAAGAGGATATTTCCAGCGATGAAGGACGTTTTGAGGTCAACGAGGTTCTTTCAGCGAAAGATTTACAATTCCATTCGAATTTCACAAAAAGTACTCTAACCTTTTCTTTTTTTTTTTGTTATCTCACGTAATAAATGTTTTTTCTCTGCAAGTCGCAGCAATGTGTTTCCACGATCGTACGAGCCGAGCGCGAGGACGATTTTTTCGGGCGAAGAAGAGGGGGATGAAAAGTCGGTCAAAGGAGCCGATGATAGAGGAGCACGTGAACATTATCGATTGGAGAGCACGGCAATAAACGCACCTTTTTCATCCGGCGGAGAGATGGTATCGGCCGGCGAAGCTCGTAATTAAAATCATACGTGCCATAAACAGGCGAAACGCTTGAATTAATCACGGCTGCGAAATGAGAAACGTCTAGCTGAGCCATTAATTTTTTCCCCTATTCGACGATAAAATCTCACGTTCACCACGTGAATTCTAGATGTAAGCAAGGTTTGGTAACAACCTATTCCAACGTATCCACACGTCCTCTGGTTTTCAGGGAATTCTTAGAACATCTCAAAGGGAATACTCGTGAAGCTGAAGAGGATCAGCTTGATTTTCTTGTCTCGTGTTTTCCAGACGAGGAATATGGAATTCAGAGAACAGATAGACGCGATTTTAATCAATTTTCTTATGCACAGAGGGAGAAGAGAAAGTCTCCTGGGAAATCGAATGGATGGCCATCCTCATAACGTATGCTCTCGTTGACATCACCGAGGAACGCATCGATACGCTGCAGGAATTTTTTGAATTCTTTGATTAATTACACAACTATCGTGTGGATTATTCATTATGCGTAATCAGTACGCTATTGTCAGCTCTCACATGCTAGAAAAAACACTATGAGGAGCGTGAGCAATTTATCAAGTTACATCTTGAATAAAAGAAGTATCTTTTATTAACAAAAATTCCTTCTTACTTATTGTGAATTTATTGAATAAAATAGAATGACATAATAAATGTAGAATAATTTATTAAATGTAACTGAAGCAAACAGAATGTTCCTAAAGAAATTACCACGCTAACGACTCAACAATCAGTCACTAATGAAAAATTCAATATCCAGTGCATTAATCAATTTGAAATGAAGTTCTCCGGGACGATCCACGATGAACCTTCTTCATATACCTTATTAAAGCGTCTTATGCACCGGGAACATGCACCACCTGTTGCCGCCTGAGGTACATTCTGTTGCATCTCATCGATCCAGCCCGGTGAAGGAGAACGATGAAATTTCTTCAAGAGAGTAAATAACAGGCACAGAGACGACTGAGAAGAATATTTCAATTTGGGACAAGAGATGGTCCACTAAATTTAGACCAGAATTTACAACAATAGTCTTCCCGAGAATACACACACATCTGCACAATGTTGTCTAATCAGTTTTGTCACAAGTGTACGTCTTGTATCCTAATGCCTTGAAACGTGATGGGCATTCCTTATCACGTGTATACTTGGTACAGAGAGAAATTTCGTGCATGCTGCGTTTCAAGCGTGGAACAGCTGCTTTTGAGAAGAGTTCAACGACCAACGTTTTGATCGTTTCATTGAGGAAAACGATCAACTACATCATGCGCTATATTTACAAGTGACAGAATCGCTCAGAATAATTCCAGTAACGAGAGAGAAAGGCTACGTTACAATAATATTCAACATACTTGTCCACAGATATCGTTTTATTTACAAAGAAAAATTGGTCGACTAATTATTCGTCGGTTTGAAAGACTACAAAACTTCACATAAACAGAAACAGTACAAGCTGACAGAAAATATCGTTAGAGATACGAGTGCAGATAACAGGCGTTCACGAGCAAACAATTCCGTAAATTATAATTGCGTGGGCCAGTGTCTCGGTGTTGTTTTATCGCAGCACGATTAAACGGTCGCGCGTGCCATGCAGAACGATTCTAGGAAGAGGCGATTTTAATTGGATCATCGGATTGCACGACCCTCTCATTGCCGTGGATAACAATTACTCGATTTAACGGTGCGATTCTTCGAACTTTCCGCCTGTCTACGAAATTATCGACTCGCACTACTTGCGCGCCGTCGATTTATTCTTCTCCTGCCTCGAGAACTTTTAACGAGCTTTGTCGCTCAATCACGTCGCGTTAGACTTACAAAAACGTATGAAAAAGAAAGAAAAACAAACGTATTAGAGAGACATTAAAAAAAGGGGGAGGGGGACGTTATAGGGCCTTTGTAATTGGTGGGACGTTTCGTGGAACTCTTCAAAATTCCATTCATGTTTCAACTTGAAACTTTAAACTGCGGAACTTGTAAAACTCGAGGAGCTATCCAATGAAAAAAGTTGCCTCCTAAGTATACTCGAAAGATAATCTATATCTCGCTGATTGCTCTGTCTAAACTTTACTCCAAAAATAGACACATTTAGAATTATTCTTTACACAACTGATAAGAGATAATTAAATTGTAGTTTCTAGGATCAATTAAGCAATGCTTCCAGATAAAATTTACATTTTATCAATGAGAAAGAAACCTCTATTCGTGAATAGAAATGCAAATCCACGAAAGCCTCCATAATTATAGAGACACGTCTTTCAAAGATCTCATAAATCATTGAAAAAAAAAATTTGTTTAACCCTGTGACTGTTATCGGCGCCTACAGTCGTTCAATAGTAATAATATGTTTATATTCTTTATATTACCAATATAAAATGTAAAAGAATGGTCATAAAAGCAAATGATAGCGACAACTTAATTCCTGAACATGTTTCATACACAGCAACTATTATATGCTATAACTCGACCGCACAACAGCGAGTGCTTTACTTCTGAGTGGCCAGCAGTCAAAGGGTTAATTGTCAATCTGAGTAATTTCTTAACCATATCATTACTCCCGATACTATCTACCATTTCAAATCACACTCTCATCAATCTCACCCCTTACCTATGGCAGTTTTAGTGCGTACGGTGCGTGAGTATCCCATGGGATGGAGTATCGCCCAGTAACGATCCACGGACACCGCCACCAGGCAGAAGATGCTGATCGTGCAGAGTACGATCAACACGGAAACCGTGAACAAACACGCGTGCAGATTGGTTGGTAAACCGATACTGGCAAGAATCGCGAAAGGTATAGCGAACAGTCCAACCAGCAGATCAGCCGTAGCCAATGAGATGATATAATAGTTGGTACGTCTACGAAGTTTCCTCTCTTTGCTGAATACTATGATCACCAGACCGTTGCCAAAAACCGCGCAAACAGCCACAAGGATCTCGCAAACTGTGTAAGGTAGATTGAGCTCCGAATGGGTGGTCGCATTCACGGCTGTTACGGTCAAATTATTGGCCAACTCGCTGGCATTTGATGGAAATTCCATCACGATGACACTCTGAACGATATCTCGAAGCGATCCTGATCACCGTTACAGTGAAATACGCACTTTCTGTTTTAGGTATCAGGACAGAGATCATCTATTGATATTTCTCATCGGAGGAAGAATGTTAAGGTACATCCTCGTTAATTTGTATTCGGCGGATGATCGATTAGTAACATGGTAAATACAACCAAGTCGCAAATGGAAAGTACAGTAGGTCGCGTGACCAACGTTTTTTTTCTTTTCCAACGTTTTTAATGGATCCCTGTAATTTTTCTGTAGACAATTTCCATGATGTCTGGGAGTATCACGCGAGCTTGATGCCACTGCCTTAAATAGATCCTGTTCCTTGTCGAAGACGCGGCGAATCGTATGTTAACGGGACAAAGAGGAAATTAGCAATCAGCATCTTTCTCTCTCATTCAGGTTTGATCATGAGACGACGACCGTTAAGTATCGTTTAACGATTGTGTCACGCTTCACGGTTACCGATCGATTTCGTTTTAACAGAAAGACACCTGCACGTACGGCGTAAAAGACCGGAAGGAGGAAGCATCGCCGCTTATTTGTATGGACGTGACGCGATCGCTTACGATATTTGTTCCACTTTCAAACAGGGAGAGCTTTGTCTCTCTTATTGTATATTGATCCACTGGAAATGTGTAAGGATCTAGAGCAGATCTTTCATTCAGAAAAATCTGTATTTCTCAACGTTTCTCGATGGATCAAAGATCATGGTGTTTCTTTCGATTTCTCTTACAAAGTGCAGCTTTCTCAGAAGCAACTAAGATTTCCAACCGTGTTTCCAGGTAATCTAAGATATCTCCGAGTAACCACGTTTCGCCAAAGAGCAACGAATTGGGATGCAGGATAACTGAAGATCACAGGATGCGAGCAGTCGAGTTCATTCAGCGGACGTTTCGAGTCCAGCCACGTTTTGGACGCGCACTTGCGAAGCTTGTTACGAGCCACGGCTTTACGGCGCATGTTCATCAGAGAGCGATTCTATCTTATAGCGATACGCGTGCCTTTGAACCACGTTGCCCCTCGTATTAGGGTCACGTCGTGTAATCTATCATAAATCTCGAAGGTGTTCCGTCGTTTCTAAACACTCCACACTTTCGACGATTTCATTTATCGGTTTTTCAGTTACTCCCATTCTCGAACCGTGAAGCTTCCAGCTGAATTGAAATCGTGCGGAAAGTAATGAGGAAAGCTTCGAGATCGATTTGATTTTCTTCGCAAACTTTCCCTCCGGACAGCGGTTTAATCGAGTACAAATATCAACTTTGTCATGCTATGAAATTCTATACTTTAACTTGAGAGCGTATAATTTTTCATTTTTCTATTATACACCGTTACCGCGCAATTTGTTAAAACTGATACAGTGTTCTTTCACGACAGAGTTCTTCTCTGTTCCTTGACACTTAAGTCAACGTAATATTGCAGAGTGTCTTTTATTGCTCGTCTCACCGGGGTGCAATTAAGGAACTGTTCGTGTTCGATGGAAGAAACAGATTAAAGTTCTAATTTCCCGGCAACGTGAAGACGTCTTCCTCCGGAAAAACGTTGCGCGCTAATGAAGGGTGGAACAGACGTTTCGATCGCTGTTAGTCCGCGACACAATTCGGAAGTTACGCTCGTTTTTGCACAGAACTCTCCTCGATATTTATTTCAGAACGCTCCAGTTAGCGTGAAACGTGGAATTGAATTTTTACGTAGCACAAATTTCCCGGTATTCGTGTCTCGATTTTCGATTAACGTTTCGTCTGAAGTGAACTCGATAAAAAATGTAAAGTATTGCGAAGAAGCTTGTCTCTACGATTAAGTCAGAAGGAATGAAACACGTCGTAAATAGCAGTGGACGCAATCGTGTTTTAATATCATCATTCACACCGATACTCTATTCTAAGCTTCTACGCCTATCTTTATTTATAGAGGCTTGGCGTATCACTTGCCGAACATTATCATAGGCTTCATAATATTTTCATTAAACTCTTTCGATATATTTGTTTAAACACATTTTTATTCGATTTTTACAACGATCAATCTGGGTAATGCACATTTGAATGGTGAATTTTTATTGAAATTTCGCGAATCGAAAGATCGATTCGATTTTCGTTCGATGACCAATCAGAGTGACGCGGATTTTCACCGAACCAATCAACGTCAATCAACGACACCGCGCGCTTTTTTCCCTGAGCAGACACAAATCGATCGACGACCAACGTGAAAGGCGTGTGCTTTTTCCGAAAAGTGTAGAATTTGAACGTAGAATCGATCAGTGATGGATATCACAGGTACAGGGAACGCGTCCGCCTTCTCAACCCCGTGGCGCGTAACTGAGTTCCTTTTCGTGACACACGGGACACCGCGTCGGTGGAGGTGGAATGAACGCAGTTATAGGTTATGGCGGTAGTGGTAGACTGGAAAAGAAGATCGACAATGATGTGTGCCAAATGTTTCATTTTATAGGGTTCTAAGATACCTCGAAATGATCCACTTTCAGAATAAAGGTGATTCGTCAAGTATGTGTATACTTTATTACGGGGGATTGGAAAGAGTTGTGATATCGATTTCGCTCTTGAAAAGGTTATAAAGAATTTTTATTCTAAATAACTGTTATAAGAAACCGACATCTGTTTCGAGTACTGTTCTTAGTCGTTACTCTGTAATCAATATTGAATCTTCGATTCCGTTTAATCGAACTTCGAAGAATGATGGTGGAATACGACACTGACAGTTGTAGATTAATTGGGTTTCTAAACTTTTCGATATTGTATTTATCGTAACTTCAGTTTCTCTCGAAACAGCAATCAAAGCTACAATTCACAATTCGATCGGCACATATTCGAGACGGTGGCAATTCCTGCGAAAACTTCTTACGAGATTTGTAATTGGGTAAGCGTACTGCGAGGAAGATTCAATGCCGTGGCTGTGCTATACTTATGAAAGGTTCGCGCGTATGGGGCTTCTGACGCCACGTGCGCACGTGCGTGAAATTGTCGAACGTGGAGTTGGCTCCTTGCGAGAGAAAGTAAGTAGTATAAATTAGTTTAGTTTCCTCCTGATAAAATTAAGAGTTTCAGGCAACAGCGTGGAACTTCGCGACACTTCGTGAACTTTTCGATCCGGTTAAACTTCACGCTTTTCGTCCTCCTTTAACTAACTCACGCAACTTGAGTTTCTCGACTACAATTCATGTAATAAGCGTCTCTCACCTCCAAGATATCCGTGGAAATGTTTTCTTATAAAATACACGATGAATGGTTAAAACTGCCGTGACAGCGATGGACAGCCATGTTTTCTTAATGGATCTCGAACGTATATAGGTGGAACGTGCAACAATGTTGAAGCAAGTAACGCGATTACGGAATTACGTGCGTGAAAGTGGTGGTTATTTTGTTTGATTAACGCGAACGAACTTGTAAATCTAATTTTTCGTGTTTGCATGCATAAATTAATAACTTCGACGCGCCTTTCGTCAATATTGTTTCACGACGTGTCTTTCGTCGTGAGAAATTCGAAAAGTCAACGGACCGACTAATTAGCAATACGCATGCGCGTCACGGACAATATTGACCACAAGAATAGAAAACTATTTCTTTTTCACGGCACCGTTATTTATACATCTGTGTGAATATCACCAGGGGCGCAATCTTGTATCTGAGTCATCAGACCCTACGAGATGCCGTCTGTTTCATAGACTGTTTCGTAATATATGAAATTAATCCAGATAAAAGACCAGTTGATTCCATAAACTCAAGTTTATTATGTAATTGATAAAAAGAAAAAATAGCTACTATGTGCAGGATACAAATCGCGGAAATAAACTATTTGCACGATGATTTACCAATCAAGTCGGATCGTCTTGCAAACTGACGGGTATTTGTTATTCCGTTCGACATTAGACAGGATCGGATTACTGCCAAGGCTAACCAGACAAATGGATCTGCGCATTTTTCGTTCTCCCTTTTGCACAAGGTGGTTATATCCAGTGCCTCTGTGTCTGTGTGTATGTGTGTGTGTGTGTATATACGTACGTAAGTTCATTTGAAATGAAAAATCGGACACTTGAGCGAGTTCTGAGGATCCAATCTTATGGCAGAGTATATCCCCCACGGTGATTGATCCCTCTCTATATCTAATAATCGAAGATCGTATAATTTTTCTGCGACGTACATTGATATTTTTGAATCCCTTTCTAAATTACCATTTTACCACTTGTGTTGGGGGTTAAAGAAAATTATATGGTATAATAAAATTGACGATGAATTTTAATTGCTAGAATGGCCTTAAGCGTGTCTTCGACCTTTGCCTGTTATTACATTGTTCTAATAGCCGGCAATTACGTAATTAGACCGATACGCAGCGCAGGAGCTGTCGGCTTCCATGAATTTCACGGCTGTATATTAAGAAATCGTTGAATTTTTAAAGGGAAACGTGTGGCTCAATCGATGGGACTCGTTTCCTTCTTGCTGATGGAAATAATAATATAACACAGTGGATGGAGGGTCAAGGATATTTCAAGGTTAGTTTCGGGTAAGTTTATTTTATAAAGTAAAAGAAGATAACCTCATTTATGGCATGACAATGTTTTTTTAATTAATTTTCATTGAATTTTTTTGTGGAATTATCCTAAATAGAATTGAGATTGGTAGAGATCTCTTTTTTTATATCGAAGTTTAATATGATGCGCGATTTTTATAAGTTTGTTCAGCGTAAAAGATCGATAAAATTATGTCCCGGATTGATATGCGGAAGCACGTGACGCCATCAACGTTCTGCTTTCCTGTGGTAGTCAAACATTTTATTACTTTGAAATAATGAGGTTTATCTTGTAGAGTGCACTTTTCAAGATGTCCTAGTCAAGAATAGAGTGCATAAAAAATAAGAAGAAAGATGGAAAAAGAAATGGTCTGCATTCTGTAATTAATGTGTTATCTGTTTTATATTCTATAATAAAGCAACCTAGTAAAATCACAACTTAGCCTTTGCATCATATTTGCAACTTGTATATTATTCCTCTCACACGTTTCAACATGATTGGACTAATGATTTATGGTATGGTTTCTTACTAGTACAGACAGCAAACGTAGGAAGTGAAAACTAGTGTAATTTTCAAATGGAACAAAAACTATGCTGTTTGGTGGAGAGCTACACCCCATCCTAAAAGCATTTTCGCGTCAAATATCGGTTGAAAGATTCGCATTTCTTTCTTACGAAGTTGTACGGTGAACTTAATTATGTTTTAGGGATTATACAAACTTTTTTAATAACTGAAGCATGTAAAAAAGTTCTTTTTGTAAGATAATATAAAGTACAAGTGAAAAGCAGTCATGCTGTATACATAAAATCATGTATAATATTTAATTAATTATTTAAATTTATAATACCTATAATTTACATCCAGTAATTACACGCTTAATTATTGCAATTAGCGCCCGATTAAATCGATATCCGTTTAATATTTGTTACTTAATCATCTCGTTACCATTTTTTTCATACTCTGTATCATTAGCATATACCTATTCCTTTATATATTCCAACAATAATCTAAAAAATTGTAGTATCATCGAAGTAATCCTCGATTTTGAAAGGATGCCTCATGGAATCAGTCTTCTTCAATAAAGCTACTGATAACGATTGATTCCATGTGACACGCGTATAACGTCTTAAAGACACCTCCTCAAAACGGAGGCAGCCTTAACGAACGGTGAACGAGTCCATTCTCAGTAATTCAAACGTACTTATTGTACATAACAGGCGCATAACAGGTCGTTTAACATCACATAAAAGGATCCCTAATTGCGTCGCGAAACTGAATGAGTCGTCGTGGCTGGACTAGCGACATCGAGAATGCGAGTTTGCACGGGACTGAATCGAAAACGGGTCATGTTCGTGTTGCACGAGATATGTAAACACACCCATGCGACTAATGCGATTGGATGCTCGACTGGAAAACAATAGTGCAAACACGAACTTCCTAATTGTACGAAAATTGTAAAAAAAAAAAAATCTTTTCTTTTCCTACTATTTTTTACGTATTTATTTTTTAATAAGAAAAAAACCTTTTTATTTTCAAATAACATTTTAAAGTTCACTTTTCGACGATGTGTCGGGAGATTAATTAATAGTAAAAGGACTGAAAATGTTTTGGTACCTTGTGAAATTGCGATGGAATTATAATTAACTGGTTAACGAGGTCCAATTGGCTTTGGCGTTGTGTAGCACACTTTATTAAGGTTGCTGTGCATACGTTCAGTAAGTTGCACGGTGTGAGATAACTCAGGTGGTTTCCGCCTAGGGAAACATAAAAAAAAGTTGCCAGCGTCTGGTGACGAGTAATGGGATCCAATTAAGGGATAATTTTTTCGTACGGTATATGCGCGGTGTAAAGTTTACTCGACGCGTTTATCTTTATTAAGTACAAGATAAACGTACAGGATATAAATAAGCATTTGACAAAAAAAAAAAAACAAAAATTATAACGTGATATTGAAAGAAGTAAAACTAATTTGAAACGGGAGAAAATTACCAATTCCATCTTTCGATGTTCTCTTATCGGTCGCTTCCATCTGGAAGCCTTCTGCTGCAGTCCAATACCAATTTTCCGGCTCACAATATCAACGTTAACGAACCTCGCCGTACTTACGCGAAGCAATGTACCCCGCTGCACGATCTATAGAAATGATCGGTTATTCGTACATGATATTGATTAAATAATAACCAGTCCAGCTGTACTCGTAGTTGAATTTCAAAAGCTTGTTTCATCTGCTGCGATACAAGCTGCTAATTTGATGTCGCGTTGAATACTGTCGATGAATTGCACCGACTTGTGTAGTATTTCAATTCCGTCAGTTTTAAAAAATTCATTTGAACAAAAGTAGAGATAATGGGTTTCGTGCTTTCAAAAAACATATGGTGTTTTATTAAATTAGTATTAAATTATGTATAACACTTCAAACATTCCATACAAATTAGTATTTGGAATTACGTGGAATATTGTACAATAGTACACATATTTTAAACGGTATAACAATCGTGTGATTCATCAGTTCATAGAGAATGCTGTTGTGCTGGCCCTGAATGTATTTCTATTCGATCTTCTCCAAGGTTCCAACGTTGCGCATATTACTATATATATAAACCATATCCAAAAAGCGAATCCGAAGAACGTAAAGACCCCATAGCTGCAAATAGACTGACGTTACACTACCATTACCTTGGATACCAAAATAATCGTAACATCGATTAAGTCTCTTACTTTGTAAGCCAAGCAATAAATATTCCTAGACTTATGGTTACGAGTAGACTATAATTAGCCAGAGGTCGTAAACTTAGTCGGGGCGGAATGCGTAACTCGTATCCGCCGGAAAAGCCGTTCTGCGTTCGTTTCGGTAGTTTCACAACTTTTGTAGGTGGTTGTAGAATCTGTCGGCAAAGACTGCCGAGGAAACCACGTCGATGATACATTCTACTTATCTTGTGTCGGTACTGTTCAGAAAATAGGATTCCAATGGAAAAAGTTTTTAATAAAAATTATATAAATTGATTAGTAATTCAATTCCAAAATATTATTAAATAGATATTTGCCTCTGAGTTTATATAAGTACAAAGTGTGTACAAATTTCTAACGAGGAATGCACATTCGTTACTTCGGACAGGTTGTAGTTCTGGATCTCCCATATATTCGACATATTGGCACGTTTGTCTGTCTTTCTGAATAGGAACAAATACACCTGGTTTACTCGTATCTAAACTAGAGTCCATCTGAAAAATTAACGTATTAGGATTATTTTATTAGAGAGAAATAATTGACGGAAAATTAATTTTCCACCTGTGATTGATGACAGAAAGATGTCGATAAAATACTGTCGTGGTATTCTTGGTCGGCTTCGATGGCTACCTGAGGAATGTCTTCTACTTTAATCTGTAAAGACCGTGTTTAAAACAAAGCACACTTTGTTCAAAATATACGCGTATTTGCTATTTCTCTTTACCTCGAAAATTTCGATTAATTGTTGCTGTGCGTTCGATAGATAAATAGGAACACGACGTCGTTCTTCTATACTAATATCATCCGAGGAATAATCTTCGCCATTAAAAAATTCCCATATAGCTATAAGATATCGCCTGTTTTTTCTCTTCTTTTCCAATGCATCAATTAAACTAGTCGCTGTTAAATGTGCTTGCTTGATTGTGCTTAACAAACGGATGACCTGAAATAAAAATTTGAAAATAATGAAATAATTCAAATATATGTTTTACATTTTTTATACCTGTGAAACAGTAGCCACAGAAAACATTGGAACATATTGATGTGTTGGTCCTTCAAGCTCCAGAATTTGTTGACGTAAGGTCGATGTCCATTGATTCGTCGACATTCGACTTCTGCTTAAACCAACATCGTCTATGTGACTCTCTATTTCGCAAATTATTTTTGCCAAATGTTGTTGTGAAAAGACCTACGAAAAATAAGTTAACAAAATATACACTAACTTGTAATTCAATCATCTGAAAAAACTGAACATACTTTTGTAACTCTAAACAACATTAATGCATTTTTTGGAGCCACAAGATCTGTCCTCATGAAACGTGGAAGTAATTGCTGAAATATTGCTGTGTAAGCTAATAAATTGTGCGCAATAAAGGGCATCCATCTGTATGCGTCATGTATCTTTCCTCTTTCCTCTTCTTCCGATTTACTATAAAAATATAAGACAATTTTTTGGTAATAATTTCTTAAACGTTTGTTTAAATAATTATTTACCCTTCCTTGGTGTATGTTATACCAGGAAAGTATCTCCATGGTTGAATAAAGCTTAACCAAGCTTCAAGAATTAATCTAAATGAACTGTCTAGAGGCCAGTGATGTATAGCTTTTCGAAGGAATGTGTAGATTTTGCCTTGAACAGAAGGCAAAATAATTCTGAAAATAATACAACATATTAGGCAAAATTTTTGTATAATTTTTAAATGATATATGAATTTTTTCTTCATTTATATTTATATACCGTTTAAGCTCATCCATTGCACTTTTGTCACCTGTTGCGCTATTTGCAAATTCATGCAAAGTCTTTATAAACGCCCGTACAAGGCGTATGTGTTCTCCGGAATGAATGCTATGCTGTAAATAAAGTTACATGCAAATGCATATACTCTATAAGAAAATTTTAATTATACACTTACACGACAGGGAACGGAAGCGGAATACGACGTGTTTAATCGCGGATTTATATGATCATCCTCTATATATTCTACCCAAAAGTCGAGAAATACTTGAACCACGGTTTCGCTCCTCCAAACTTGCGGCAAACATTGTTGTTGCGGCACTGTTGACGCAGAATTTGGAGATCCTGGCGATAATATTGAAGTTCTCAGAAGCCGCGGTGTTTGCAATCTGTAATAATCTCTGATTAAAAATTTTAACTTGTTGTTAAATTCTAAAAAAGTATATTTTTCTTAGTACATGCCTACAAAATACCTTTTAGAATCAGGTGATTGAACTAGTTTACGTTGTGGAGTTTTTCTAATGTATGGGCCAATTATTGGCAAAACTGGAGAATTATCTCTGGGTAGAAAATGATACAAATAGCAATGAGCTAATTGAACATAAACAGTTTCCCAATTAACCCAAACATTTTCCTGTTGCTGTACTTGCAACCATGGGTTTGTTAGATGGTATGCAAAGTGGAAGATGTAATATTCAAAGGGATATGTACAAATATTAAGGATATACTTTAAAAAAATTTTAAAAAAGCATTTGATTGAATTATTACATTACAATATCAAAGGATACTCATATTTAGAGCAGATACACAACGTGTACCCTGTTCATCTCTGATTTTGTCAAGATAAAATGGTGGTATTACACCTTCCTCCAACATTGACCGTACTTTTGCCTAAAATTAAAAAACAATTTTAGAACCAATTATGCTTCTATTTATAATTTTCAGTAATTCATAATCCTGTTTTTACATACTGGTAAATATGAGACTGGAAAATTGTATTTCAAATAACAATCTGGCAATAATTTATAACATAAAGAAAAAACTGGCCCCTGTGGATTAAGGAAATTGCAAAGTGTTTCATACTCCTGTGGATTTCTTCTATATGTGATACTGTGTAAACCCCAACCAATATTGTCAGTTGTCCCAAACAATGAGTCTATCAATATTGGAAACACATGTTGCAATTCTGTTGTACTTGATTCATCTATTAATGTTGCTATTTCCTTGCATCTTTGCACCAATGGCATATTCAGATATCTCTGCACTCTGATCTGTATATTAATTAAAAAACCACAATCAGATTTAAACATTGTATTAATCAAACTGAATAATATGTGTTGATAAATGAAGTTACATAAACCTAAAATTGAACTGCCATAATTTTTAGTGCAGTATGATATGTATATAAAATCGATGCGTACTTTATTATTAACATTCTATTTACAATGTAAAGTATGTTTTTTACGTGCTATTATATAAGGAGAAAACGCATACATTATTTTATATATTAATTTATTTGCAAAAACTCATACATTCTTTATCGATACACAACAAATTACATTAATTTATTAAAAAACTATTCTATCAATGTATTATATATTCAACAAGCCGGTTAGAGTGTTTTAGGTTAGGTCAGGTTATGTTTGCGAAAATTCACAACTTAAACGTTAATGAAAATAAAATACGCGTGTGTAGTACCGTAGCAACGTCTGCGGATGAAGCCATATTCGTATTTGTCCGTTTTTGCGCGAATTGTTAGAAATAACATTTAAAGAACGTTTACTGACTACTTGCGACTAATTCGCGCCAAATACACAATTTGAGCGAACAGTGTTTACCACTACAAGAAATTATTTCCCTAGAAATACTCTATACCCCACAATTCACAAGTTTCAAAACAGACATCTAAAGGCACAAATTAGAAAAATAAAACCCATTGCATTTCATATAAAAATTCCTTTATTAGCATTCCAAGGCAATCCTCATTTCCATTCAATTAACAGTTCGCCGTTTGCTCAATGATTCATTGAACAATCGGACTGCTGCTTTGCAAGTTTCCTCGATATGATTAGCAATACATTAACAAGTAATGTAAAACCAGAGTGGTACTCATTGTTTTTTCTGTCCACACGAGTAAATTCCAGGCTTATAAGTCGGTAAAAATGGTACGTAGTATGTCCATTTCCATCTGTGAAGAATGAAAAACAAATTCGTGCGAAAAATTCAATTCCTAAGAAAAAATTGAAAACTTTAAAAGAAAATGTGTTATAAAAATTTATACCTTCGTAAAACTTTCATACCGAACGGAAAATCGAACGTATTAGGTATATATTCTTGATCCTCTTTCTCATCACCACCAGTATCTAGTTCCATTTCCTTCGACCACGCAATTAGTCCACGATCCTCAGGTGTACCTTAAGAAATTGATAACAATAATTATCGTTTCGTAAAATGAGATATTTTCTTTCTCCTGGTTACAAATCTTACCGGGTATAATATTATCTAACACACACCCAACCACACCCCCCACTAAAATAGTCGTGCTAAGTAACACGGTAATCACACCGTCGACTATATCATTTCCAGTCTGTATCACGCCTGTGTGATTGATCATCCACTTTGACAAAACCTGAAAATTCCACGACATTTTCAATCAATTACTTTTGTAAATAAACAAAATTCCAACTCGAATCACTGGTTCTGAAATTACTACTTCGATCAGTTCAACGTTGAATATTTTTTTAAATAATTACATTTAAAAAATCCTATTGAATTTTGTGTGAAAAATTGTCTCACCAGTGGGAAGAAAATAGAGAATCCAAGAATATACAAATTTCTCGCCGAATTTAAATTTATATACTGCAACGCGGAGAGACCTAAAAAAAAAAATGTTATCTTCTGAATTCTTTTCATTATTTTCATTTCTTTTTCTTTTAGAATTTCAGATATATTTTAATATATCGGCTCGGGGATGATGATGAAGACTGCGCCAAATTTGCTAATCAATCCCTGAAGTATCATCAGAGCACAAGCCCACTGTATCACCCTACGACTGCCGACTTTGGTAACGCCTGTTAATATTTCGTTTAAACAGTTAGTTCGAGCCATTAAACTGTTACATAAAAATTCTATAGAAAAATCAGTGACAAAGAAACTTTATTCCAAATAAACTATTATAAAGAACTGAAATTTCTGTGTACCAGTTTCAAAACGGTTCTGCAATCGACCCTTAAAAAATCATTATAAAAAAAGAAGTGAAACATTTCAAGAGCCGAAATTTATATGAAAACTATTTTTTTCCAGAAAAATCGTTCACCTATGGTTCCCACATTCTCTCCAAAAGTGTTCGTTCCATTTCCGCTGCCCCAAAGGCCAGCCAGCATCGTACCAAGTCCCTCTATACCGATTCCTCGATTAATCGCGTGAACTGGAGGCGGAGGAGCGCCTGAGAAAGAAATTTCAACGAATTTCAACGATAAGAATATTTCTGATTTCTTAGTCAATTAGGAGTTAAGCTGGAATTAAAGCATCACACCTCTTTGTACAAGTCATCGTTAGTAAGATACCTGGTATCTTCAAGGCTCTAATATCTTACATAAGTATTCTAGACTAATAGAGGAAATTGGATTGTTTCATTATAATAAACTGTGTAATAAATCAGTTTGCCAACGATTAGAAATTCAACGTTTCTTGTTACACCAGCTATAATATAAATAATAAATAGAAGCTTCAAATGCTATTTACCGCACATTCTGGACGTTGTTGGATAATAACTGATAGATTCCACTGTGCATGCTAATACACCTGCTAACATTCCAAGCACACCGGACAAAGAAACAGTTGGCGTACCCCATTGGCCAGGATAAGGTACCCTGAACCACGGAGAATCGTAGATGATCTTCAATTTACTGTCTGCTCTAGCTGGATGACCAACTGGTAGAGTATCGGTCACAGTTAAAATCGTGCAGATTATCCACATGACTATTATCGTTAGCAATACCTAGCATGGAAACAAATTGAAATAAATAATTTGTTACAGGGAAGAAAATTAAGGTCGATTTTTGTTGAATACTTACCGGGAACAATTTGAATAATTCGAACCACACGAGCTTTATTCCTTGGCCTTTGCGATACATCAGTATCGGGAATGGTACGTTAACGAGTATTTGAGAGTACAATGTTAACATCAATATTGTTCTGGAAAAAAAAGTAGAAGAGAATTTGATAAAGAAAAATTAATGTACACTTCTGGTTGTAAGTATTAGGACACTGAGTGTGGAACAAGTCTAGATATTCATTAGAAAATTATTGAGATTCTTAAGAAATTGTTCAGCTTGGAATCTCGTGAAATAATTGAACCTTTTCGCTACGGCAGATTTTAATGCGTAACGTGGATGACTGACGGTGAATCTTTAACCGTGGCTGGAAAATTTGTTGTTTCAACCGTGTCGTTTTAAAATTCCATAATTTAAAAAATTAAAATTAACTTCTGTTCTCTTTAATTTAAAAAATTAAAATTAACTCTGTTCTCTTTAATTTAAAAAATTAAAATTAACTCTGTTCTCTTTAATTTAAAAAATTAGAATTAAACGCGAGCAAATTTTCAAAACAGGTGCCAATAGTAACGAAAGGGTTGAAGAGTATAATAGTTTCTGTACAAACATAACGGGTGTCCTAATATTTGTGCAAGAAGTGCGAGAACTACAATCGTACCCAACTGCAATTCCCCAGTGTTGAGAAGCCGCGTCAGCTGCATTTTCAAAGAGGGATATTCCAACAAGCGAGACAGTTGGCACTATAGTTAACGGTGTGATATATTTCAGCAAATATCCAATGATACCTGTTCAAAAAACAATGCTGAAGAGCGAGAGTTTCACGGAAAAAGTACGAATTTTAATAGAACTTGAAGAAGTATTGGAAAAATCGCATTAAGGTATTACAGAAAATGAATTGAAATTAATTATATTATGAATTTGAATTAATCAATCATATTTATACAACTGTTTTTAATTACAGAAAGGGACTGCAGACTAAGGATATTTTGTTTTTCACGTAATGGAAGTATTTTGAAAAATGTGACACGGAACGTGTGAAGAAACGACTCGAATTTACAATACCCCCGAATCCAATAACCACTTGGAACAAAGCAGACACAGCGATGGCTCCTGAAAGTTCCCTCATCCTGACTTGCCACAGTTCCGTGCGATTCTCCGGAGACATTTCGTTCATAACTTCCGGCGCTGGACACTTCCATTGTGGCAAACTTAATATCGCCAATGTTGGGACCAAAAATGATATAGTTCCTCCTTGAACCAGTGGCAATCTGCGACGAAGAATACAGAAACAAAAATACTCGAATATCCCTAACGCAAGATGCACTTTTAGTTTTATTTACTAATGTAATCGCAAATGAATCGCAAATTTGATAAATGAACGGTATTTTTCACTGAAAAAGGGCTTACTATTTTAACAATTACCACGTTCACGAATCCTCTCTCCCTATGAAACACACCTGAGAATTATTCGTGTCGCAGAAGAAAAGGTCTAAACGCAAGCCGCAAGTTCCGGAAGAACAATCTTCAAGTACGAAACTCTGCTAATTGTCTTGCCATAAAGTTCCAAGCAAAAAAGTCGAAGATCGTTGTTCCGTGAAGCTGTCAGGTATCGTTAACGATCCGTAAATCTTGCTAAACAAGAGTAATTTCCCGCGGCAATAAAGTAACGGAGAATTAGCATCGGAACAAGTCGCGAACAGGAGTTTAGCACGCGTAATTATTGGTCGCAAAAATGATAATAATTCAATGGCATCCGGCCTTGATCCTCCAATTCAGTTCTACGTTTATAAATAATACACCAACGAGCACTGCTCAATTTACCAATTTACGTGCAAATGTTGCTCCCCACAATTACGCGATAGTCACATGGCAACGTAATTAGCATCGTTGCGATGTAATCGGTAGCACAAAGAAACCATAAGTTTCTTAAGAGAGTCGATTAGAAAATAAAGCGAGTATAATCACAAATTTTTTTACATCCTTAATTCTAGAAGAATTGGATGGGTCAAAAATGACCCAAAAGCAAGTTTCCAAAAAGATCTCCATTTCTATCGATACGAATCTAATTTCTGAATTATTGTTTAGTTGCATAAAAATTCACTTTTGGAAAGTTTCTAACGGATCATTTCGACTCGGTTGGTCCTTCTAGCTTAAAGACAGAATTGCGAAATTTTCGAGTGTCATACTAATATTCCTGATGGCCAGATAATCGGCCAATAAACACTGTCGTTACACGAATTTGCTCATGTAATCTCCATCTTATCAGATGGACAGGGTGTGAGTCTATTTTTCGCGATTACTTTCAAGAATAACACGATTCGTTTGTAATTCAAGTTTATCGAAGATCTTCGAAAATCTTGCACTTGTTCAATACAATTGCTTCCCATTCCGGCGCCACTGAGGCCTCGCTTATCTGTTTAATGGTCTAGAACGAAGATTCCTCCGATGTGAATCAAGCTCGTAAAAATCAGCACATAAATCAGACGGAGATGACGTTAAAATATCGACCTTATGCGGTACAAGCGTAAAGCAAATTAAACGGCGATAAAATTAGATATGGATAATTGAAAATTTATGTTTGCTTTTTTTCAATCGACGAGCTGATGGTTTGTTACGTGAATTTTATTACCTGCATCCTACTGTGGTCTGAAAGAAGGTGACGAGTCCTGTGACGAAGATCATAGTGGAGATTATGTAGCTCCTGGATGGATCATCCTCGGCCATGCACAGTGCTGGCGTTAGGATGAAAGGAATGGAGACGATCGCGCCTATCATGGTCAAATAGTGCTGGAAAATTTATGAGATAATGATCGGTATGCAGAAATGTGTAAATAATTGAAGAGACATTTCTTCCAAATTATAAATTATAACTTTGCTATACTTGAGGCTGCTTTAAAGGATTCATCGATCTGTTCTAACGGCGGAGTAACGAAGCAAGAAGGCTTCGTTAGAGATTAGGTTTATCTGTACTATTCATTGAAACAGTGTGTTCACTGCAATTTTGTTTTTACAAATAGTTTTTAGGTGACTGAAAAATTATTTAAAGCGCATATGGACTCTCTTAGAAAATTGAAGGAAAAATTAGAAAATTAGAAAAAATTATGTCTCTTCGATAGATATCTGGATGGACCGACACTCTTAAGGGAAGATACTCGAAAGTCTTGTCAAGATAAATTTGTGTAAATAGGAGAATCGTATAAATCTCTCCTCGTTCCATTCTCTTTGACAATCTTTGTTCCATAGAATCTTTTCCAAAAAGGGCAATATGCAAATTTCGAGTTACACTATCAAATTTTTATATTATCACCGAATCTACTTTAACCCAGTAAAATCGAGTCTCTTAATGTTAAACAAACTTGATAAATCACTCCAACAATAAATTAAAATAACAAATTAGACTTTTTATAATGTAAAAAAGTTCGAATTGCATCCACGATATTTCGACTGTATCAAGATGAAAGTAAATCTTCCTCCTAGTTACAACTAATTCACAGAATAATCTAATCTAATCTAGTTCGATGTTTAAGATAATTTCACGATCTCTATCGTATCTCGAATACCATCCGAATATGTTATTTTTAACACAATACGAATTTCTTATGGATTAGCGATTAGTATCATCCACGAGATATCTCCATTCAGATGGAGAATCATATTTTCCATCATTTAATCCTATTACCTTTTCAAAGATTCCCTAAAGAAAACATTATTCGCCTATTTTTTATTCCGAAATACCTGTAAAGCCATGAATAAACAGAGGTACCACGGTGGAACGTCGTCGATGCCATAAGTGAGATCCGTGTTCCTGTGGCCGCCAGGAGTTTTCGTATCCGGAGGCGTGAAGGTTGCATTTTCCACGTTCTAAACACACCAACAGATGCAGCCTGCATAATATGCGTCTCAAACTAGCTCGATTTCGCAAAATAATTTCAATTTTCACGCTACATTAATTCCGAGAGAGTGATATTTAATTTTCTCCTAACTTCGCCAATTTTAATTCTTTATTTTTTTTTTTTTTACCGCAGCATAACTCTCTTCCGCTAGAAAATCACTCCAATTTAGGCGAGCTGAAACGAGAATACGCGGCAGGATATATTTGTTATTATAATGAGAAGCTCGGTTGCGCAATTACGTTGGGGAAGTACCACGTGGACAGGAATAATTGTATCACCTTGTTCATTAAGATTGTATATTAATCAACACTAACGGAATAACGAAACTGAAGGAAACTCTTATTCCTTCTGTTTCGTCGTTTTCTCAACTTCACGTTTCAACAGTTTCTCCTCTCGACGAGTAACTTGAAAAAAACAAAAGTAGCTTACAGAGATAATTATTGGCAATCGATAACGTCAATCGCCGCAATTTTTTTCTTCCACTCTGAAAGATTTTTCTGTAAAATATCGCGGTAGAGATTTTAATATGTAACAGGCGAAGCTGCGTAATAGGCAAGACGCGCGATTAATGATCCAAGATCTAGATTTTTTTTTCTCTCTCTCTCTCTCACTCGGTAAAGTTGAATGTATCTTACAATCTCGAAGGAGCAATTAGAATTTATTAGTACCACTACGCAGCCACGAGGCTTCTAATGACTCGATTACGATCTAAATATACTGTCGATACACTGTCTTGTTTCAGCAAGTTCACGATCAAGTTTACATCTCCTGTTGTCTTCGTAACGAGAAAAAAAAGAAGAAGAAAGAAAGTACTTGTAAAGACGAGAATCTCTTATTTAATCGTTGTCAATATAAACTCAATAAAGATAAGGATAGTGGTAATTTGTTTGCATGGACGTCTCGTTGCCTGAGCGGCACTGGTGTTACTAATCTAATGGCGTAAACAATGTTTGGAGAGCAGGGTGTACTTTCGTAAGGGGACACTGAAAATCTAGGTCAAAACACTTTTCTTCAAATTCGTTCGAATTTAGGAACAGTTGAAAATTTACTTTTCACTACTTCTTAAATCGATGCAATTAATTGTGAAATAAAAAAAGAGGCTAGTATTGGAAGCAGAGATCCACCTGACACGGCTATCGTTAGATTTTATTGAATAATTAATTTTTTATTGAATCTAACTGGTTGCATCAACCGCATCAACTAGCACGCGGTTTAACTGTATCCAATTACACAAAACGATGAGAACGCTTCTTATGAAGGATCTTTCTGTCACGATCGTGCTAAACAATAGATTATCATCTTAAACAATATCCAAAAATGCTAAAAAAAAACTTAGAAAATTTCCAAATTTTCATATTCTTAGTAATTTTAAAAAAATAGACTTAATTAATTCAAAAAGTCTCCCTTTTCGCGCGCTTCACCTGTGACCATTATTAACGACACCTGATTCAATTTAATTTAATTTTCCTTTCTATTTGTAGCTAAATAATTTTGTTAGTTTTTATTATCGAAAACTTTCCGCCAGACGCTGATTGTTCAACCACTTACCACCTCCGTCATCTGCATCCCGTTTTCAGGCATTTTGGACTCGCGCCACGCGCGAACACAGTATCGAATATTTCGACTGCCTTTAGAGTGTATCCTGTATCCGGTGATCCAGCGTCATCAATGAGACACGAACGATCCTTCGGGAACCACGGAAATTACGGTGGAAGCTTCGTTCCTCTCGACACGACCACGCGAGAGAACATCCACGTTAAGCCGACGATAGTGACGAACTGTCTCAATAGACGCAATCGCTCCTTAATTTATCACTAAATGCCTGCTTAAAGACGAGGTATTCGCTGGTCTCCGATCGTCTTTCGATTTCAACAACGGAGAAATTTTACTGGGAATTTTTCGATTAAACGCACGCCTAGTTGGCGGCAATAAAAATTGATAAAAACAGAGAACGATATTAAATAAAGAAAAAGTGGAAACTGGGGAGACTAGTTGATAGAATTTAATTAGGAATAAACAAGCATAAACAAGGGTCGTTCGTCATATTACACTATGTGAATTTTGAAAGTAATGGTAAACCGTCGGAAGATGATAATTCTGGTAGAATTGTTTTATGTAGAGTTGGTGGAATCGATAAAATCATTTTCACACACTAAAGATCGTGGATCATTTATTGTCAATTGATGTTTAAAATTTTTTATTACAATTTTTCATTACCTTCTGTTCAATTTTGCTTATAATGGTAGAAATTAACCTGTAATTATTAAGGATTAAGGTTTAGACAAATTTTTTAAATGAACCAATTCCGAATTGACATTTGACGGACCTGAGCGAAGCTCGAGCTCTGTATCTCTTGTATATTGTTGTTTTGGTGCTCGAATTACGTGTACTCTGACGCCTGACTATATTGTTTTCATCGACTATACTAGATTTTTTTCACTTAGTGTAGAAGGTGATCTACATGTATCTGTTAATTCCTGGTTTGTTGAGTTGCGCGTAGATTGTAAAATTAAATCGTTCCGTGGCGCACGTGTCAATTACTTGCCAAAGAATCTCACGCGTATAACTCCACATTGATAAAAATAATATTATCTGTAGTTTCGTCTCGAATCTCGGCGAAAAGATAAAGAGAGGGCTTCGAATTATTATTGAATTTGTTATTGATCAATATTGATCAATAACTCTATCGATCATTCGACGAATGGTAATTTCTATGATTTCTAGGATGCTCAAACGTAATTTCCGGAAATTTGCAACATCCAGAAAGTTAATAAATCAATGCTTACATTCTAGCTAATATTCTGTCAGCGTTACTTGAAGACTATCAGTGATACACTGTGGAAACGTAAAAAGGATTACGATGATTTACATACATTGCTTGCAGAAATGTGGATATCATTTTAATAAAGAGCAATAAAATTGACACATGGTTCGGGGTAATTACTGTAACGAATATCATTACTGTTCCTTTGTACTGCACTTGCGAAAAGAGATAATTCATGTATTTTTATGAAAAAGTAGATCGTTTCTGGAGATTGCGATAATATTATGTAATAAATAAATGAATAAAATGACCATAAAAATATAAATAAAAAGAAGGGATAAATATTAGTTACATTTATAGAAATTTTCATGTTGCTTATGTCGGGAAATTTGATTTTCGCGGGAAAACGGTGGAGGCGCCTGTGTCATTGAAGACTATAGAATATGTAACCTCGATATTTATATAGTCAAAGCTGTGTATCATAACCTATCGCATTATTTCTTCTTCGTATTGTGTATCGTAAATAAACGATCAAATAGATCGTGTTTCATGTATTCCTTGGAATTTTTTTTAACGTTGTGAAGAAGTGCAGCTAAATATTCAAAATGGATGAATTGGGCGAACCTATGGACGTGGAAATGGTCCCAATTACGGATGACAGCAAGCTTCTTGATTCTGACCAAACCAATGTAAAAACGTTTAACTCTAACAATGTGCAAGTACCGGAGGTAAAGATATATTAAAAATAATCAATTTGTCTCATCGACATGCAAGTTCTACGAACTTCCTCGTCGTCGAATACTTCTTATATTATTATTTTAGTCAATGAATGATGAATTGAAATTAATGTGCTGTGTTGCATGCAAACAGGTACAGTTGGACAGCCGCTACGAGAATCGCGGCGGTACTTTTATGACAGGAATAGATATATTTAGTAAGGAAGAAAAAATGAAAATGGAAGAGAGAGCAAAACGTTTTGGATTAACAGATAAGATAAAAAATAGTCTATCAAATCAAGAACAGGACTTATACTCTAGGTGAAAACACTCAAAAATGTTAGCATGGCAGACAAAGCACAATGATTTTAGCATAAATTATCTTAATTTTTAGTATGGGCATTGTAGAAGACAATGAAAATACAAAAAATGTTAGATTGAATGTAATACACATGAGAGGAACTGAAGATATGAGCACTAAAGATGTTTTTAAATATTTTGAGGATTATGCCCCAGCATCCATTGAGTGGATCAATGATGTGTCATGTAAGAATGACTTGACTTTACAAGTTACATTAACATTTTAATTCCTCTTTTCAAATACAATGAAAATACTTTATTAATGTATAATTTATTATAGGCAATGTAGTGTGGCTAGATAATTTATCTGCAGCTAGAGCTATGATGGGATTGTCAAAAAAAATTGTAGGTTTAGACAAACAGAGTCAAAGAAATACAAAAGTACTTGATGGTAGTCCTGATGAAGAGAACAATGTAACTACTGATGACTGTACCATAGAAATGATTGATGACAATGAAACTACCAACACACCTAAAGATACAGAACAAGACTATATCAGCATCAAGGATATTAATTGCCCATTACCTCCTGGTTTATGGAGAAAGGGTATAGATTATCCTAAATCTAAAGCAATATTTATTAGGTTTGCAACTAGAGCAGATAAAAAGCAACCAAATGCAGAAAAAATGAGTGATTATTATAAAAAATATGGTAACCCCAATTTTGGAGGTATTACTGCATACACAATCAGAACATTCTATCTTAGGATTAAGTGGTATAAATGAATATTTTTTCTCGTAGGTATTAAAGGAATTTTAACCGAGTCTCGAAAACGAATGTACAAACAAATTAAGCAAAGTAAGAGAAGATTCAAAGAAGAACCGCAAGACGATGTTAATGATAGAAGACGTGTAAAAAATCCATGGGGTGCATTGTCGGAAACATGGGGACTCAATGACGCTATAGAAAACGAGTTCGGCACGCGAAACGAACCGAAAGACCAAGGGCGTAGCGTAAAAGAAAGATTGGGTGTAAAGTACCCTCAAAAAGAAATGCCATATACAGAAGAACAACAAAGTAGCTCTACCAGCGATAGCGAAGACGAATGGTGTAAGAGGAGTAAAGTGTTAAGAATGCGAATGCATGCGGACGACGAGGAAGAAAAAATACATAAACGACGCGCGAAGCTCCGACAACAAGTCAGTAAAGTTGACTATTAAACGTTTTAATTTTTTTATGCCAACAGAATTTATTAAGTCATTATTATACGTTTGCAGACGATGTTGAACAATTTAAATAAAGGCAATGATTTACGATCGAGACTCGGTAAAGCGAGGAAAGGAACGCAGTTCCGTGATGCAATTCAAGTAGTTGTAACGAATACAAATGCAACAAAGCCGAATTCGTTAAAGCTTAATGATTCAGAGGTAGTACTCATTAGATAAATACTATCGTATTTCACGTGCTATTCAAATTAAAACCAGCATATCTAGGGTACGAGTTACATTTTTATTGTATAGGAGGAAGACGGTGAAATTGTAGAAGATTCTGAGAATCAAGAAAAGGAAGAAGGTGAATGGCAAGGATCTGACGAAGAAGAGCGGGAAGAAGAAGACGAGAACGAAGACTATAGTGACGAGGACAGTGACAAACTGGCGAAAGAAGTCCAAGGACCCAAAGGCAGCGTGATAAAAGTAGTTCAACACAAGCCTCGTGTTGCTTCTACGGTTTGGGCAAGATTAAACAATGTAAAAAGTGAAGTCATCGATAACCCTGTAAAAGAAAGGTAACAATTTAAACAAATTAATATTCTATTCATATAAATTGCATTCCAAAGCAAGATGTGACAATGTTTTAAAGGCCATCAAGAATACGAGATCTAAGAAGTACTTTAAAAAGTGGCGATCTTCGATCTCGGATTGGAAATCATACGAGAGGCCGTTCACCTTTAAGGATAGAAGTGAAAAATGACAAATACACCGAAGGAAGTGAAACGGAATAATTGTTGATTATTCAAACGAATTGTCATGAAAGTGTGAAACATGGTTGTGGTGTTATGTTTCAGTGGCAGAGTACAGCATGGTGCAAACTTTATAATTGGTGTTTAAAAATATAGAAAATGCACTCATTACTCCGAATTTGTTACAACCTCATTTAACTCGTACACAATTATGTTACATTTTATATTTTTATTTTTATTGGTTACGTGTGCATAGCAATAAACTTTACACTGTTGCGATAGATCAGAACTCTGAGCGTGTAAGAGTTAAAAGTTTTATGTTGTTGACATAAAGTACAAACTTTTTGAAAGAATGTACACTCGATTGAAATTTACGGACATTCAATCTTATCGTATTTTTTACTCGTATCACACAACACGAATTTTTTACATGTTGATAATGTATTACAGACATCATCTTCCTACTCTTAAAAGGAGAGAAAATATTCATGAACGGGTAATGAGTGCTTCCTGGAATGTATATAAATATTATCTAGTATAGATAATAAAAAAAAAAAAACAGACTTTCATTAACAGATTGAGTACTGAAAAATAGAACGTATTTTTAAATATTCGTTTGTATGATCGAAATATTTCCGCTGTGAATGGTGCGTTTCATAATCAGAAATTGAAAAAAAAAAAATATTTTCAGGTACTCGTAATTAGCAAAGAGATAAATTTATACTATGTCGTACAAAAAAGAAACCTTGCAAACGAATATTTAATTGATCGTACATCGAAACGATACATAGTGGTTTTACAGTTTTTTTTTCTTTTTAATCTTCGATAATTAAACTAATTAAAACAAAAACCAGTGACAAGATGAGAAAAAAATACTCAATACGGTTGTAAATAAAAATAAAATTGTACAAGACTAACTACCGTACATGCAGAGCATTTAGAATATATTTTCCTTATACATCTGCGAGTAACGAAATGTTTCGAGGTCTGTGATTACTTAGAAGTGTACACTAGAGGAAAAGAAGATACGATTTGATAACGATAGATAACCAGCCCTCTTTGACTTTAATTGCAAGATGAAGTTTGCGTTACTTACGTATAATTATTTTCACGTATCTAATAAATAAGATGTATACAAAAAAAAAAAAGAGAGAGAATTACACCAATATTTCATTTAAATAGAGAAGAAATAGGGATAAGAATAATTGTGACATCGATTCCGAATAATTGACCAATAAAGCCGCTTTTATATTAGCACAATAATACTTTGAATAGTCATTTTAAAATACAATAATTGATAATTACGATTTCAGTACATATATATGTATAATATATATATTTATCATTTACACGAATAACAATTATTCGGAGAAATATTCGGTTGAAGTAATTAAAATAAAAAAAAAGGTAAGAAAAAAAAAAGAAAGATTTATCGTTTGAAGAACACAGTGGATTATCGGAATATTCTTTTAGCCGCATTCATAGATTCCTACGTCTGTTACTTTGATTAACCTCTATGTTAATTTAATTTCATCTTTGTACTGTTCAAAATCTCGAATGAAAAAAATTGCTCACTACTGCAGTTCATTAAGAAACAGAAGAATGTTAAAACATGCAAAAATTTTCACTAGTCACAAGTTCAAGGATAAAGTATTGAAATGATAAATTCTATGAATGCAGCTGGAGGCACGAAGTAATTTAATGCATTAATAAACGAGATGCGATATTTTTGATACCATTCAGCATACGTTTTTTTTTTCTTTTAATGTGTTTAGCTTAAATCCACGTGTATATTTAAACCATCTGGTATACCTATATTTACTAACTGTGTCTCGATTTTTCTCTAACATTATATCTACATTTTTTATGCATTTTATCAAGTGTAAAGATCTACTGATTTGTAAACTAGCTCTAACTAGTTCGCCTCTCTGTTTGCCTCATTAATCAAAAATATCAATCTCGTTTGCTAAAAGGCAATCGTGCAAGATATCAAGGATCCTTTTCTTTTCTATCCTACATAAAAACTGTTGATGTATCTTCTAATTAATGCTTCTCCCTTTTGTCAAGCCAATCGATAAACGCCATTTTCGCCTGTCTTTTTTTTCTTTTTTCATATTCTCATTTCATCAGTATTTTTTTGTTCTTTTTGTTTTCTCATAAATGACGTATAACATTTAAAATCCATAGACGAAATATTCTTTTAATATTCGGATATATAAGATATGAATCGGCAACAACAATACACGCAACGTTTAAGTATATTAGGCCTGATGATATTGATAATAGTTCTATCAATGTAATATTAAACGCTACAATCTATCGTTGCTCGCATTCCACTTGCATCCTGTGCCTCTTTCTTCGCGATAATGGTGTTCCAATGTTAATTGTACCTTTTAATTTTCCTTTTCACATTTTTTTTCCTCTGACGTGTTTTCGCAATTTGAATAATCAGCATTTTGTTTACTGTGGATCCTTAAGAACATCCGATAATAAGTTACATCTGGTGGAAGATCCTTAACGATATACAATAGGTAAAGTATTTCCGTGAAATTTGTACGTTTGCACTAGGTACGATACTTGATACACGATCACAGCAATGTACAACATTCCTTGAGTTTTTTCTTTTTTTTCTTTTTTGTTAATTCATTTAATCAATGAAACATCGAATCCTCATATACCGAGAAGAGAAATAGACACGAACTCTTGAAACTTTTATGGGATTCAAATGCATATGCAATTTTTTTGTTTTTTTTCTTTTCAATACATCGTTTTAATACTTGATATTTGATCTCGTATTTCTTACGTTTACAAACGAACAGAGAAATTCAAAGAGTTATATTCGACCCCTAGATGAGTTAAGGTTACATAATAAATTCGTCAAACTTACAAGTCGATCTTTGTCAGATCGTATCTGTGATATTTTTTAACTTCATTTCGAAATTCTGACTTGTAAGTTTTCCAATCGATTCTCGCGCGTAAACGAGTTTGGAACACCGATATCGTCGCGGTCAACCGGCCGACTCATCATGATTATGTCCCCCTCGGTTTTCTCGAGGCAGTTTGTGTGAAAATTATTCGACAAACATTTCACGCGTTCGCTAATCGTTCGATAATCGCACCTACTTTGAGACTCTGGTTTAACTTCGTAGATACATACATAGATTAGTCGCGAAATTCGGACACATAGCAACTGTACACGCAGAAATATTCGAACACATAAACGTCAGATCGTCTGAGAATCAACTTCACTTATTAGCGCTCGAGGGAATCTTATTTCAAGCATCGTAGATAAGATCGAAAAGATACGAGGAAGAAAGTCAAATATGCAGTTCTTAACTGTAAGAAGAAATCAACGAGAACTCGAAGGAATCGATATCTCTTTTTATACCTTTCTATCGATATTGTACGTTCCCTCGCGTTTACCCGTATATCGTTGAAAGTATCGGTTAAAGTACGATTTTCTATTCAAGTTTATTGCACAGTTATATTTCGTTAAAGGAAGCTATAGTGTGAAGATATGAACAAGAGTTACGACTGAAGTTTCTTACAGATCTTTCTTCCTCTATTCTATTATAAATGAACTTGTACTCGAAATACGCGGAGATACCGAGAATTTCAATGATCGATTACGTTAGAAATGCTACAGAAACCCAGCAAATTCGATAGATCGCAGTTTTATCGATGAGAGCGTTAGATAAATGTTCAGTATCATTGGGCGTGTCGTGAGCACGCACTGAAAAACGTTTCACATCGAGGATCTAATAAGAATGACACACATATTTCAACGAGCGAGTGTCCTCTTCGAGATTTCTCGCACGCACGAACATTTTCCAGTGTGAAAAGCGACGGATAATCGGTCGATTGTTAATTTCCATGGGTGAAATCACCGTCTAAAAATCCTAACGACGTCAACTGTATAGTTACAGCCACAAGGCCGCGTAACGTAAAAAAAAACTTCGCGTTAGATCCTTGTCTAGAACGAGATTGTTGGATAGCAATAATTTTTCTTCTTTTTAACATCCATTTTTATAAGAAACCAAACGAAAATAAGAATGTTGTTTAAACTCTTTGTTAAGTTCTAGTTAATCTGCTATATTGCACAGTGTTAATATTTTGATATCCTTGTGAATGTTCAGAATTTGAAATCAACTGCATATTATTAAACTGTCATATTTCAGTTCTTAAAATTCTCGTTCATTACCGTAAAATATTTAATTCCTCCCCACCGGATTGTTATTTTTCACAAGGTTCCAGATATAAGCAGCCACAAGGCTAAATCGATAATCCAATACATCCTTCAGAACTCTGTAAAGCATAAAACATGCTGAGAAATAGAAAAGGACACTCGTAGGGAGTAATACAACATTCTTCCTCTCTCTCTCGCTCTGTTTCTTTCGAGTAATCGCAAATATCGCAAAACGGATACTCGAATCTCGAGGCAACGAAGCGTTCTCGTAATTTCCTCGGATAACTTGCAACTTCACGGAAACCAAACGCCTCGAGGCCTCTTTTTTTTTTCAAATGTATTATTACGAATATACAACACATCAATCGACACGTGTTAATCAATGAAGAATCATTTTATTTGATGCATCGAAGAACGTGAGATCTGATAGTCGAGGGAGGCAAAAAAGTGTTTCACACCGGATTGTTCGCTTTTGCTCTCCTGCTAAACACGCGTTATTATACTCTTCTATCGCTTCTTTCGTGTCCCATTCTCTCTCTTTCTCGCACTTATTAACAAGATACTATCGTTCCGTTTTTCTTCTCTTCGTACAACATGTACATCGATACTCTTTGATTTCAGAGATAAGAATATAGTGTTTCTTCCTTATTCTTTCTGCGTTGCCTTATAAACAAGCGTGTCCAAGCGTGTCTTCGTCATCTTAAATATCATCCGATTGTCGATCGAAAAACGATGAAACGCTACACTTTCGTTGGAGAAGATTTTTCGTTTCTTCGATTAGGATTTTTAGACCAAGAGAAAAGAATTAAAATAAAGCATCTTATATAATCATGCTTCGATATTAATTCGAATTTCGTTCTTACGTTCGTTATTATCACAATCAAATATGATTCTTGTCTTTTTTTTTTTTCATTGTCGACGACACGTTCGTGTACGTAACTCGATTACTCTTCTCTTTTTTTTTTCTCTCATTCGCCGCGCCTCGCTTCTTTCCCGGGGGATGGTGTATCAACTAGGGGTATCGTTATATCGAATATCAAAAAAGAATCGTTCGAATATACGCGAGTACATTTAGAGCGAAAGAACACGAATCGAAACAAGAACGTTCACATCATCGTCATCGTTTTTTTTGTTTTTCTTTGTTAACTCACATGGTGAGTGTTTGAATCCACACGTGTGGACTCTTGTTGAAGAAACAATAGCGGATCGCCGGCTCTTTTGTTAAAATAAAAAAACGTAGAAAAAGAACGACACGATACAATAATCAAGCTGTTCATGAACAACAAGCAAGTGTTCCTCGAGATACTTATTAATAGTACAGGAAACCGACAAAGAAAAGGACAAAAAGAACAGAAGAGAAAAGAAAAAAAGATAAAGGCGATACATTCTAACATGTAAAAAGATCGGAAATGTAAAAAATAGAAAAGTACACAGATAGTTACATTCAAACAGACACCATGCGCTCCATCGTACAAGAATGGCAGTATCAGTGTAATAATACCTGTAGATCGTGAAACAAGACGCAATTAAACGGCTTAGAAGAACTGGAAGCTGCGTCGAATGCAATTAACTATGAATAAAACGTTTTTCTTGCGCCTCTCTCTTTCTCTCTTACTCATTCACTCAACCTTTTTCACATGCACACATTCTTTCTCTCACTCGTTCTTTCATCTTCTTCCTTTCTCGCTTTCTTCCTTTCGCTCATCTACAAGCTAAATCTGATAGAGGCAGAAAAAAATTTTCTGCGAGGTGCGCAACTACCATAGAATGATGACACAGAACTATTTATGTATATATACATATTTTTATATATATACATACATATAAATATATACCTCGGTTACGGACAAGCACACGATTTCAAGCTCTCTCTCACACTCTCCCTCCCTCTCTCTGCACACATTCATTTTATCGGTCGCCGTATTACGTGGCTCAGAATATCTCGCACATTACACCAACCACGTCACTCGCTCGGCAATTAAATCACAGACAATGTGTATGATACGGTGATTAACAATAAATCATCAACTAGCGTTACCTATATATAATTCGGGATAAATAAAAGTTATTGTACAAATTAATATTATGCATTCAATTGTAACAAAAAAAGACACTGTATTTTTTGTTTTTTTTTTTCTCCGGTAAAGACATGCGAATGTACAAGTATATGCACGGACACTGCGGTTTTGTTTGTTTTACCTCGTTCACCGCTCCCGCTTCGCCTGCTTTCTCAAACTCGCTTGTGTTCGTAGAGTGGACTTAAGCGTTCCTCCGATTAAACGTCTTCGTAGAAGTTAGTTTTGCTTTCGATTTGTTTCTATTTATTTATTTTTTTTTGTTTTTCTTTCTTGCTTCGATCGTAGACAGCTGTAAAAGAAGTACACTTCTGTTACTCTGACGTCACACCACCGTCACACCATCCTTTTTGGTCGCCCTGTACGCTAGCCGCAGCTGAAACGTTATCGATCGCTTTAAATACAATCATTATTTGTTTCGTGAAACATCTTGTAAATTAATGGGGGGAGAGCGTAGATACCAGTAGACTACATAGCGTTTTCTTGATGGTTCTTCTGGAACAGCAGGGTCTCCTCGAAGATATATTGTTTCAATACTTCTTTCGGAAGATCGTCCAGCTCCATGTCAAATTTAAATGGTTCTTCTGCGACAGGCTAAAAATTTTTCGCGTTATAAAGTTGTCCCATGCTACTTGTCTATCGATTAGCCAATGGTAAAAAATATATACTTCGTCAGCAGGATCGTAATACTGTTCTAAGTAAGGGTGCGCGAGTGCATCCTCTACGACGATCCGTTTGTTAGGATTAAATGTCAACATTTTATCCAAAAGATCCAAAGCTCGCGGATCAGCGTTTGGAAACAGACTTGTCCATGGAACCTTTGGTTTATACGGTAATGACTGAAGGTAATTTCGTGCCTAAAATAACATTTCACAATCCGTGAAACAAGTCTATGAATACACTGCTGAACATAAAGGAACAATGAATACTTTTTCATTTATAATGCATTCAAGATCCTCAGGGGATGGTGATCCAAGAACACCCAATATATGGTTCAGTTGGTCTAAGTAGTGCTTGCCAGGGAATATTGCTCTTCTTGAAAGCATTTCTGCAAGAATGCAACCAACTGACCAGATGTCTATAGACTTAGTATAGCCCTGTAAAAGGGACAATCAGATATATTGTTCTGTTGCATTTCTTCTAAACTGGAATTAAATGTTCACATTATTTACCTTTGAATTGAGCATTATTTCTGGAGCTCTATACCATCTTGTTGCTACATATTCAGTAAGAAAACCAGCATGATTATGCTCTGGATCAGCAACTCTGGCTAAACCAAAATCACAGATTTTAAGGTCACACGTGGTATTCAACAACAAGTTGCTTGGTTTCAAGTCTCTATGCAATACATTTGCAGAATGAATATACTTTAATCCTCTTAATATTTGGTAAAGAAAATAGCATATGTGATCATTACTAATAGCCTGAAATTGAAAGAGGAGATTTAAATACATTAAACCTCTTTAAATAATTCAATCCTTCATCATTATCAATTGTGCTAACCTGTGTTTTAAGAAGTTTATAGAGATCAGTTTCCATTAGACATTGAACAATATATACATCTTTCATTTGTTCTATAGTAGGTGCCCTTAATATATCCCTTATATCTATTATCTATGAAGGAAATATACAGTCAATATAATTGGACAAGTCAAATTCTACTGGTTGAGAACAGATTACTCACATTTTCATGCTTAAACCTAGTCAGAATTTTTATTTCCCTTAATGTTCTCTGACTATATGTCTGATGTTCAAAGGGTGAAATTTTTTTAATAGCTACCTTTGCTTTTGTCACATTGTCATAAGCAGATCTGCAAAGGAAAATTCCAAACTGTGTAACAATAATTTTATTTCAAAGAAAAATTGCTTAGAGTTCAAAATTTGTAACTTTCTTGGTGAAATAGAAGCCTAAGATAAACCATCATCTATGTACATGACACATGTATCTCCTAATCTGTAACCACAGTACAGGAAGTGGTTCTACAATTTCATAAGATACTTTTACTACTTGAAATTCAACATATGCTCAAATATAGTTCCTAATGTTTCCAAATTTATAAATCACAATTCCCAAGTATGTTGAAAAAAGTTTAAATAAACGGGCATTGTAAAACAATTAGAAAAACAAAAAAGCAAATTCTTCGCGAACATTTCGAAACAAAGTATTTCCAACGAGACAGGTTTCTAAATTTTGCGCGCAAAAATTCGCTGTCTTCGCGAAAGTAATCGTGGAGTATAATCGCGATCTCGTTAGCAGCATGATGATAAGACCGATAAGTGAGAGATAAGCGACGGGAACAAGGAAGTTGTAACGCTAACACGCAAGTGGACAGGGGTTTGAAAGGGTGTGACAACCGCGTTCAAAACTGGCGCCAAAAAGCGACGATACATAACGATGAATAGCACTAAGCAGCGGCTTCACACGGTGTCCAGACGACAGTAGAATCTTTCTTACACATTATGGAGTGAAAATCTCGCCGTAAAACCGGTAATTCACTCAATGACCGTGTTTTCGATTGTTTATCTTTCGGCCTGTCAGCCAGTCGATACGCGGTCGAAAGTTTTCAGAAGTAACCGGAGGAATTGACTCGAAGACACTTACACGACCATTCCGTAGGCACCCTCACCCATGTACGACAAATTCGTGTACCGTGGGCCAACCTCGAACGTTTGTCCACGAACGACCTCGCAATTCGGATTCACACTTGCAGAACCTTCGCCCGCCATTTTGACAACTATTTTGCGGCTCCGGCGAAGTCAGAACAAGTCTTGCTTCTTAGCCGACTCGCCACGAACGACATCACAATTAGATGGGCTTGCGGCAATTTTACATGCCGCTTGTCAATTATGAGCCACAGAAGACGATCTTCCCGCCCTCTTTGTACAAACACGATCACCATGAACTCCCGATATCGTTGAAGTACCAAATGCGTTTCGATTGCAAATTTTTAAATATATCCGGAAAATAAAATAGCTTAAAAAGCTTCTCAGATGTAATAATCTTTTTTTCTCTACTCTTGTTTAATTTTTTCTCGTAACATTTTTTGTATTGTTAGCTTCTGTCTTTACGTTTTATTGCTGAATCATTGTTATCGAATTAAACTTTGAAAGATGTTAGTTGACGACATTGGAAACATAGGGGACGCTGTAATTGGAGTACACTTAGAGTTCTTCATCTAAAGTATAACGAATCATGATTGTAATTTCGGTCTGTAATCTGTTATAATTGCGTTGGTACAGCAATTTTGGATTAAAAATTGCGTTTTATAACATACATATTTAACAAACTTTTCGTTCAATATAATACATAATATTCTAACTACAAAATGAACGCACCTCCAACCTTCGAATCATTTCTTCTATACGAAGGAGAGAAAAAGTACGTACTAGAACAGTTGGTTAACTTGTCATTTTAAAGCTTTTGTTAAAATAACGTATATATGTATAACTTATTCTGTTTTACGCAGAATAATCAAAGAACAAGATACTAAGGTTCCAAATGCCGCGATTTTCACGGTTAATAAGGAAGATCATACTCTCGGAAACATGATCCGTAAGTGAGTGTATTTTCGTATTGAAAAATATAACTTTATAACATATATGAATGTTAATATATTAATAGCAATTTATTTTGGTATTTAATAGTCAGTTACTGAAGGATCCACAGGTTTTGTTTGCTGGATACAAAGTTCCACATCCACTAGAACACAAGTTTGTGATTAGAATTCAAACAACATCAGATTACACACCACATGAGGCTTTCATGCATGCTATTACAGATCTTATAGCAGAACTTTCACTGTTTGAAGAACGTTTTAAGGTAAAGGATACATATTTAAATATGTAATAATATATCACAGTTGATCACAAGTTTGTAATATTGTACATAAAATATTTCAGGAGGCTATTAAGGAGAAAAAGGAAGGTTTGGATTAAATCATGTTCTTTTTTCAACTAAATATAGGCATTAAGCAATGTGTAAATGAAGTATTAATGTATATAAAATTTTTGGATTACAAAGTGACCTGATTTATTTGAATAAATAAATTGAAAATGACTGATATTTGTACATATGAATAAGTAAATAAAAAACATTCAAATGCATTTGTCCTTGAAATTTCCCTTGTTTTTAAAGTAAAAAAGAAATATGGGGGAAGAATTGATCATACTTTGTTATTTAAACTTAATTATTATTACTTACTATTTAATTCAAATAAGTTTATGCAAGATACTAAAATCAGTCTCTTACAATTTTATTTCTCTTAACTACAAAGCTTGGTTCTAATTTACCAAACATACATTTTTAAGACAAGACTAATTTCAATGAATGTATCAACCCTGTATTAAAGCTTAAAGTTAAAAGGCAAGACAATGGTGGGTCACAGTAGTACAATTCTGCTGAAACTATTTTTGAACCAGTATTGACTGCAAGAACAGAAGATGCACACAAAGCAAGAGACATTTTCATTGTGCCGAATGTACAAACAATGTCTTCAGAAAAAATGTACTACTAATTAAGTCGATATAAATTGTCAGAAATGGTATAAGAAACGCCTTACAGTTTAACCCTAATGATCGTTGAGTTCTTTGATTAAAGGAACTATCACTCAATGTGCGGCGTTTTTTAACGCTAAATAAATTATTAAATACATGTACAGGTTGATATAAATAACTATTATGTACATAATTACATATGACTTCAGTAAGTCTCGTACGCTATGCATTTAACTTTTCATTATGCAAATAGACTATGCTCCCCTTCTATAAAGTATTATACAATTCAACAATGTATCGTAAAGTAACTAAATTGTAACTCTAGCTCGTAATAGAACTGGTATGGCTTTGTACTTTTAATGATCACGTGGAAGCGCAACAAATATGCATACAAAACATTTTGGTGAACATACATATAAACTTTTAAACCATAAATTTAACATAAGGAGCACATGTTTTTCACCTGATCGTAGATGTTCTTGGATGGACACGCATATATTATGCGGGAAGACATGCATTAGGAGTGTACAAGAACACAAAATTACGATGCGATATTTTCGTGTTCTCGTATACTTCTAACATACATAAGGTAGCGGTAAATTCTTTCATATAAAAATATACTCTGCAAAATTTCAACAGGTCTGTTTGTGTCTAGGATCTTTGAGAAGCAATGAAATAATTCTATAAATCATAACACGCCATTAAAACGTTTCAGCATCATCGCATTCACGAGTATCGTGTCCAAACACTGCAAAACAATTGAAACAATTACAAATGGAATTGGATAGAGATGAAAGAAAGTGGTTAGAAGGGTTAGTGTAAAATATTCAAAGGATATTATATTTAAAGAATAACTGTATTAGTTATAAATGTTTAGATATTTGTTCAATGTTTAGGCGATACTTTTTAAAGATCTTAAAAATCTTTTCGAAGAGAATTTTAAACGTTTATTATTTCTCCTAGGAGAAAGAACGTTGTAAACGGATGCAAAAAGAATTGCAATTCGTATAGCTCTGAAGAATGAATTCTTACTTTCACAGTTTTCGCAGTATGGCCTTTCCACCGACGGTTTTTTCGGCGATTTTACAATTTTTTCTGTTTCTAGAAAATCCTGAGCCTGACGTGGGCAATCTTCTGTTTCGTGTAAATCGAATTGGTCACAAATATCACAAAACATGCGTGGAGCAGCCATTCGTTTTTCCAATGTACTTCTAAAGTTATACAATTAATATAATACGAATCTTATAATACGTATTTATTTAATACGACAGTTAAATGCTACGAACTTCGTATATTCGTCAGCTTCAATGGCAGGCACACCCATTTCTAGAACCTCAACTTTACACAGTAAAGCTTCATTTTTACGTTGCATATCAACTATTACCGAATTTAAGAAATCTATTTGACCTTTAGCTGTATCGTATTCTTCCTTCAGTTTTAAGATGTCAATATCTTTGTCAACTGAAATCATTAATTTAACTTTGCTACATAGTTAAAAAAAATTAATTTTTTGGCAAAAAAAATCTTACCTATATGTTTCATGTCACCTCCAGCTGCCTGCAATAAATAATAATGATTTAATATATATTTATATTAAAATCAAAGTCGAAAACTTACGTC